AGGAAGCCCTTTATATCCGAAGTAAAAGACAGAAACGTATGGATTTTCAAACAAATATATCAGCAAGCCTCGGGAGTTTTGGGAACGTGTCTTATTCACCGACGAAAGCAAGTTTTGTGCTTTTGGCATTAAGGAAAAAGTTGGTGTGGCGTAAGAGTGGTACTGCACTTGATAAAGAAATCTTTACCCACCGTCAAACATGGCGGAGGAGGTGTGATGGTATGGGGGTGTATGCCGGCAGAAGGAGTAGGCAAACTCGTTTTATAGATACAATAATGGATCAATTCGGCTATTTAAGTATTTTAAAAATAATTTGAAGGAAAGTGCTCAGCAGTTGGGGCTTGGTGATGATTTTTGGTCCAACAGGATAATGATCCAAAGCACACGGCGCACAATACCAGGCTTTGGTTGCTTTATAACATAAAAATCAATTGCCTCGCCACTCAATCTCCAGACCTCAACCCCATCGAGCATTTGTGGGATTTACTGAGCGCAGAATCCGCCAACACACCATAACCTCCAGAGAAATGCTCAAAAATGTGATCATAAATGAATGGGCGAAAATTACAAATCATGACACATCCAAACTAGTTCATTCAATGCCACATCGACTTGCCGAGGTCCTAAAACGTAAGGGCTATCCTACTAGTTATTAGGATATTAAATTTTTCCAAAATAATTTAATTATATTTATTTATAATCAAAATGTACGAATACTTTTTCTGTTTCATTATGTGAGCTTTTTTTGTTTTTGTTCTGTGAAACTTTTTTTAAAGTGTATGTTGAAAAAAAAAAAACTCATGGAAAGTGTAGTAAAAATACTGAATAGAACTTTTGGATACTATTTTTATACATAATAAGTTATTTGATCACAAATTTCTCAGTTTATTGTTTTCATGTCGAGGTGTACGGATAATTTTTCTGGCGAGTGTACGTAGATGGCAATATAGATAAACGTCCGATATCATTAACATTAGCATCATTCGCTATCGCATCTTGCAAATGAATTTATTCTTCGAATCTTAATTTTGCTTGGTTGAAACGAATAAAATTAAGACGTTCAATTCTGATAAAATAGTTTACCACATCTCAAGATATAATTTTGTTCTTGTGGATGAACCATCAATCGATACGAATAAATATTCATGGCACTAACTTTTTTTGTAGACGTAGAACTGAAAATATTTGCAAAATGTGACTAGAAAATTATACAAATGAAATATCAACACACTGAAAATAGGTCAATCATTTACCGGTTCATTGGTATATTGATATAGTAGCTATCGTCAACTTTCCAATGAAATATTGGGCTTAAGAAGCATATCTTCAACATGGGCTTAGTCTCTTCTGCAAACTGCCGGTTCTGCGACATAGAGCCGGAAATCCCAGAACATCTGCTCATTAAATGCACAGCAGTCTGCAGACGCAGAATCAAGGCCCTGGATTCATGTTTCCAAACAGGGATTGTATCGCTTCACTAGCACCCAGCAGAATATTGGAGTTTATCTACATGCTGGGGCTTGATGAGTCGTTGTGACTTAGGGTAGGGTACAATAGACGCGGTACATACCTCAAAATTAATCTATTCTATTCTATTCTATTGCATCGTAAGTACGATGAAATTCCGAAACGCGTTGCAATTGCTCATTTCTGCGATGAAGTACAATATCACGGGACTGAAACTGAATTGCAACCTTATAATAGCATGGCGCTCGTTAATGGGTAGTGCGGAGAAAGGTGCTGTCATAAATTCTGTGAAGCCGACCCAGTTAGCTTTGTCGTTGGCTAAAACAGCTGCTTCGGCTGGGAAATCGGGGCGGAGTTCCGAGATTCTTTCAACCGATATGAAGCGAGCGGTAGCAGCAACGATCACCTTGCGGAATTGACGCTAGCCAAAGATGACGTCCGTAGGAATGGATAGTGCGCCGATGATGCTCTCGGTAAATTCTGCGAAGCTGACTCAGTTAGCTTTGTGAAAGTTAACAATGGTGCGGTTGTCCACAGAAATAAAGTCGGGAGGCTTCTCGATCGAGATAATTATGGGGAGGTGGTTTGATGCTAAAGTTAACATAGATCGCCAGGTTATGCTATTTATTAGACCACCGCTAGCGATGATAATATCCGGCGAACTATTACAGGTGCCCATAATTCTGGTAGGGGCTTCGCATTCATTGTGCAAAATGTCGAATGTCCCCCAACGATCGTTCGACATGCAAGGTTACCAAAGATCGTGGTGCGCGCTAAAGTCGCCCAGCACCAAACGGTTTTGGCCACGAAGTAGCGCACATATGTTCTGGTGATATCCTATTGGACAACATCTATCTTGCTCTGGAGTCCGTTGCAGTTAAATTGTATGAGTCAGGTTTGTCTCGGGTGTCTAGTGACGATCCTGGGGGTGAGAGAGCGTCGTGTAGGTGGTGGTTATTGCAGCTGTAATTTCCGCAGGGTATGTTGTTGCACTGTGGTGTTATTTGGCGACGCCACAGTATGCAACGTACGACGAACTCCACTCACGTGTGGTGCGCAGGCCGGAACACGACGGAAAGTGACTGATGTGACGTTCCGACGTATGGCGGTCTGACACACGGAACAGACTGTGCGAGGAAACAGGATTTCTCAGTGTCATGCAGCCTGTTTGAGCTCCTTGGAACAGTAGAGGTCCTTTGTTGACCACTCGACTGGAGTGGCGGCGTAGTACGCGGCTGAAAATTGCTAAAACAAAACGCTATTAAAAGGGATACGTCTTCGACGCAATTCTGGGTAAACAGCTCATTCAACATCTTTAAATAACGGTGCCAATTTACAGTTACTGTTACACTGTTTTCTTTAAAGAAGTATGGCCCGACAATACACCTTGATGAAACTGCGTACCACAAAGTGAATTATCCTCGGAGAAAGTTCCGTCACGTTCTGGGTCTGCGATATTGACCTCGGGCAATTGAATCGATGACATGTGTTTGAAATGAAACATCTTTCTCAACATCCATCTTCGCTACTATTCTTTGCTTAATCTACTGCAAATATCTTCACAATTCAGTCCTTCGACCAGACTACAGAGTTGAACTCAACATTTTAATCGATAATGCCAAAGTTTCAGCAATAAAAAAACCATTAAATTTTGGACGTTACTTTAGATAGTATACACTAGATATCTATCTACCTAGATACTCCACTTCAACAACAAAAACTTGTGTTTCTCAATCATCATCCTCAACTATCCAACAATTTTGCTGTACCATATATTAAAGCGGGCACGATATATCAAGATTTACATTGTGCATACGAGTCGACTGACTACATATATAAGGGGTACATATGGCATGATTAATTATAATTAGGAAAAAAATTTTAGATTTTGTAGTGTCAGATGACGGTAACGGCGAATTTGTTTCTGAACAAGATATATTCAACGAGAACGAGTTTCTTGGAAGCTGTTGAAAGCATCAACCTTTACAAAGTGGATACAAGTCATGTAATAGACCTCATTAATATGCGCACGGAAATGATCAATAGCTTTTAAAACGAAAATATAAACAGAACATTACTTCCTTTTTTTAATCACCCACTACAGATTAATGAGTATAAGAAGTAGAGAATAAACTTTAATGTAACTGAGTCTAATAAATTAACTGTCTTATTTCCAAAAACCTTATTTTAATTTTGTAAATATTCAATATTGAATTTGCTTTCGAAAAACTAATAACTAGAAAAAAATAATGGCGCTTGTGACATTTTGGTAAACTTTTTCACAATACAATACAATGTCTGGCCATATACATATCATAAATACATATATTATATGTATATGTATAATCGTTATATTAACCGTACGCCATTTGTTATACTCTCGCAACCTGTTGCTACAGAGTATAATAGTTTTGTTCACCTAACGGTGTTTGTATCACCTAAAACTAATCGAGTTAGATATAGGGTTATATATATATAAATGATCAGGATGAAGAGACGAGTTGAAATCCGGGTGACTGTCTGTCCGTCCGTCCGTGCAAGCTCTAACTTGAGTAAAAATTGAGATATCTTTATGAAACTTCGTAGACATGTTTATAGGTACCGTGAGACGGTTGGTATTGCAGATAGGCGAAATCGGACCACTGCCACACCCACAAAACGCCATTAATCAAAAACAAATTATTTGCCATAACTAAGCTCCGCAATAAGATACAAGACGTGGGCGTGGTCCCTCCTCTAATAGGTTTAATGTGCATATCTCCTAAACCGCTAATGCTATAATAACAAAATTCACTCGAAGCAAACTTTTAGCACTTCTATTGACGGTGTGAAAATAGTTGAAATCGGGTGGCAACTCCGTCCACTCCCCATATAACGGTACTGTTAAAAACTACTAAAAGCGCGATAAATCAAGCACTAAACACGCCAGAAACATTAAATTTTATCTCTGGGATGGTATGAGATGACTTTATAGGAACCGCGTTCAAAATTAAACTGTGGGCGTGGCACAGCCCACTTTTAGGTGAAAACCCATATCTTGAGATCTGCTTAACCGATTTCAACCAAATTCGGTGCATAACGTTCTTTTCATGTTTCTATGTCATAGTGCGAAAATGGGCGAAATCGGACTACAACCACGCCTACTTCCCATATAACACCATTTTAAATTCCATCTGATTCTTTCACTTTCCACTATGCAAATCAGGCAACAATGACTGTATCGGGATAAAACTTTGCGTGAATAATGCGATTAAAGTATGCCACCTTGTGGCCAAAAATCAGTCAATCGAACCAAAACTGTTTAAGCCCCTAAGTACTAAACATGTGGACCCCAGTGCCTATAGTTGACCTTCTACCGAAAATATCAGTCAATCCACAAAGAAATCTCAAACGAGTATACTATTTGACTTTGCGAGAGTATAAAATGTTCGGTTACATCCTTACTTGTTTTCTTCTAGTTTTTATTGTTTATTACTTATACTATACAAGTGCTTAATTCAATAACTAATATACTTACATTATTTTATTTGCAGTGAAGGAGGTTTCTTTAAAGCGCATTTGTATTTCCCGAAAGAATACCCTTTACGTCCTCCACGAATGAAGTTTGTGACAGAAATTTGGCATCCTAACATTGAAAAAAACGGAGATGTATGTATTTCTATTTTACACGAGCCGGGCGATGATAAATGGGGATACGAAAAGGCATCTGAACGTTGGTTACCAGTACACACCGTTGAAACGATATTGATATCTGTGATATCAATGTTGGCTGATCCAAACGATGAATCTCCAGCTAATGTTGATGCTGCTAAGGAGTGGAGAGAGTCGTATCCGGAGTTTAAAAGAAAAGTCGCTAGATGCGTAAGGAAGAGCCAAGAGGAATGTTCATAGAGATTTGCAGTTTTTTGTTTTTTTATATATATTTATAAACAATTTGGTACATTCAAATCAATTACTTACTTTTTGTCACTTGCATAGATAATATCTCTTTGGTGACGCTATTTGCAAAATTAAAAAACTGTACATTTTTCAATCGTTTCATTTGAAATGTGGTTTAAATTAGTCGTTATTGGAAAGTTGGCACTAAAAGCTATGTAGTTTAAAAAGTAATAATTTTGATGTGCAAGGAAACATAAATAATTTATATAAAGCATTTAACAATAAATTTCTATCAACTGAAATATAATCTTTAACTTATAATATAAATAGTTAGTATGTAATTATTGGGGTATAGTGTCAGTGCAGAGAAATTTCTTATAATTTTTCTTAATATCTTGATCGATTTCGGATGCAGTAAATCGAAGGATTTGTTTACACTTTGCAAAACGTTACGACTTTCACGCCGTGCTAGTATTTTTGGTCACCCTGGACGCGCCGAGATACAAAAACGCAGATATGTTTGTAATTTTTTTTATTACTCTTTGTATGAAAGAATTTGTTCTTCCAAACTATTACTTTCCGATACTTTTCCCATTTCACTACTTGTACTTTTCTGCGCTGCCAAATTACTAAGTTTTGTAAATTTGTCTATAAAACTATAGAGCCAGATTTTCATTGCTTTAAATTCTACGGGATTATGCAATAGACTAGTAATCAGGGCCCGATCTAAGGGAGGGCAAGTCGGGCATTTGCCTAGAGCGGCAAAAAATGAGGGGCGGCAAAATTTACTTATATTATTATTTTCCCAGATTTCTGAGCACAGTAAACATTTTGCTTTTTTGTATAACCTATATGCCTTAAGAGAGCTACCAAAAGATGAATTGTTAGCCCGAAACAGGGAAAAATTTTGAAAAATTGAAAAGTTGAAAGGTACATAACTATGTCGATAAAAAAATATATCAATTTCTGTGAAATTCCTTATAAAGACATACATTGTATACTTACTAACATAAAACTAAACACCCATCAACTTTCGTATAGGTACTTCTTCAGAAGGCCCAATAGACTGACGTGAATATTATAGGTAGGCATAATCACAACAACATCGCATATTTTATGTAGGTACTTGTATACTTAGCATCAGCCAACAAAACTAGCTCATGACTTAATAGCTTTGTGTATGTAAAGGGCGGCGAAAATAATATTTGCCCGGAGCGGCTAAATAGCTAGATCGGGCCCTGCTAGTAATAAACCACTTAATATTATTATTAAATTTAGTATATAAAAGTTATTTTTTTAAAAACTATTTTTTGGCGAGTGTAAGTTCTTTGCATGGAGCCGTTGCAAAGAAACGCAATGATAGTAAAAGCATTAATTCGGGAGACAGCCATATTTCTACAATATTTTTCAAAGAATAACAGAATTTTTAATTGGCAGTACTTTCACGTATACCTACTTATATTTTATTTATTTTTACTGAATTTTGTTTTTAGCCAGTTGTTGTGGCATCCAAGTAGACTGTTAAATCAGACGAAATCTATACCGAAAATCAACGTCGTCATAATATGTAAAACCTCATTAAATGAGGGCGACGATTTATAAATATATTTATTAAAATATCCCTCTCCATATCACTTTCTTTGCCAAATGACATTTTTCACAATATGTTTATCTTCTGTTACTTCCAAATCAGCTGGTAGATAAACGTAAACATATTTGCATATTTAACCGTATTTAATTAATATTTAAATTTCAAAGCGTGATCATTTAAATAAAAATTAAATCAAATGGTGAAACTGAAATTAATTATTTTTCACCTTAATTAGTTTCGTGAAAACGGCTGTTAGACTGAGCAGTGGTTTCTTCTTAAAAAGGAGAACAATAGCTTTGTCGTCACTTTTAGATGTCACGTGATGGTATTTTTAGTGAAAAGGAAGAATATGAAATGGACAACGCTTTTGACGAACTGTATCAAAATTATTACGTTGTCATGAAGTGTCGGAAGGGAGGTGTAAATTTGATTCCAAAATCAATACCTTGTCACGATGATATTCTGGCTTCAATGGATGAGAATCGCATCCGCCAAATATTAGGAGTTAATCGGCCACAATTTAATCATATTTAAAGACTGATTTCAAATGAGGAATCATTCATAAAATGCAAGAGTTTTCTGTGGAGCTACAACTCGGAATAGTTTTATTCAGATTGGGTTCACCAGGAGAAAGTGCGGTGGTTGCAAAAATTGGTGATGGCAGCACCCTTTCTAAAAATTTCAAATAGAATTTTTAGATGATTCTTAAAACTATTGCACTAATATATATACTGGCCAGATTTTGCATAAGTCTCTGAAATAGTGCGAAAAACTTTCAATGAACTGCCGTTTGGGATTGCATACGTTGAGGGCACCACACCATCATTTTTCTTACGCGCTTCTGTAAATTTTTTCAATGCTTTCTGCATGTTGCCAATTTTTTCCAAATGTGTTCTTATATTTCTACTTTATGGACTTTAAATATTTGCTTGCTAAGCAGAGATACAGTCAGAGCATACGAAACAGTTTTCGCAAATATCAATTTTGGACATGCTAATGCAGCGAAGCGTGTAGTGTTATTTCGTATTCCATTAGGGAAGGTCTGAATATTCGTGACTTTGATGTATTCCACGGATTTATGTGCATAAGCTAAGTAAGCTAACCTCTCAATGTCTGTAGAAAACTCCTGCAGAGACTCATTGGCTTTCTGGTTGCAATTTTGCAAATCTATTTGGAAGATCTGTCTTACTGTGCTTACTATCATTCCGTCTTTCCAATGTACCCATAAACGTTTCATGACTACTCGCCTAGCACTTTGAAGTGGTCTGTAAAATCTTCGCTGCAGAATCTTTAATGCAATGAACAATGCAGCGCCTTTATCTTCAGGGTTCCATTTATTTGAAGATTTCGTCTTTTCGAATTGAAGCTTAAAAGCATGGAACGGAACAGTGTCATCAAAGGGTGGAAGTTTTGACATAACTGACCGATTTAATTGTAGCACGCAGAGACGATCTTTCAATTCATCTTCTTTAATCGATCTTTTAATTTTATTCCGATCTTCCGAAATCTGTGAGGACACTTCTGCTATTTGTTAGGTCACCTGCGCTGATATATGTGTATCGTGCGCTGCGAACTGCTCTTCCAACTGCGTTGACAACCGCGTTTCTAACGTGGACAATATAGATTGTTGTGCCAACATTTGTGATGACACCTCTGCTGTTTGTTGGGTCATACGTGCATACTGCTCTATAAATTGTGTCAGTATTTGAGTTCACATCTGCGATATACTTGCATCCTGCCCTTTCTCCTGTGTCGATATTTGCGTTGACATCTGAAACATTTGCGCTGACATCTGCGATATTGTACCGAAAATCATATTTACGTCCATAGCGTTTGATGAGCGAGTCTCTTCCTTTTCTTTTATCTTCGTTGTCTCTTCCTCTAATTCCAATTGAAAGACATATTCCTCAACATTAATGTTTTCCGCCAAAGTTCCGTAAGTGAACTGGGACACTTTCACTTTTCGAACTTGAGATCAATTTTTCCTTTCAAGTCGTGGGGCTAGTTTACTATCAAGTTAAAATAGCTGATCACATGGACTTATATCAATATATAAGTATACCATTCAATTTCTGTAGAAATTAAATTGTCTGTGTCTCTCAAATAGTTTAGTGCAGAACTAGTTGAATAAAGCAAAAATCTCATCTCATCTCTTTTTTCTCATTCCATCTTTTCAACATATTATTAATTTTGTGCAAAATTTGCCAGGAATTTAAGCGGTCTTCATGACGACGGCAGCTTCAAACTATTATATATTTTTAAGTTGCTTGTAGCTTTCGTCATGACTATCAATTTAAATCAATTTCGACTAACAGTTTGTGTGCTCAACTTGAAAGCAAGTTCTTGATCGTGTTACTGCAGTGTCAAACGCTGAACACATAGACGATGACATGAGACAGGCATATATCTGTCAAATATTAAAAAACACACGTTCTTATGGACACAGTTACTTAGACAACAGCAGGACTTCTCGACATTTTGTAGTAATTAAAAAATTAACTTGAAGATATTTGAAGTATTCTTAAAACAACTCAAAATCACAGTCGAATACACCTACTTATAAATATGTAGACTATTTTTAATAGTTTGATTTTGGTTTTGATATATATAATATAACAATGGCCACATTGGTGAAATGAAAACAGAAGAGAACAACCGATTTCTGCGTTGCAACTGTGGGCATAACTTTTGGCAAATTTTGTTTGATACGGGCGGTAAGTACGGAAGGGAGGAATGTCGGCGACTTAGCACGACAACACTTTGACTTCTAAAACATTCTGGCAATTCACTAACTATTTGCTTCTGCCATTTTATCGTCGATTCGATTTTGTTCTATCATATGTGATTGGCACAATATGTTACCGGAATTATCGATATTTTGTGCGAAGTGTCACCTCTGTGTTTTGTTAATTATATTCTGTGGAAAGTAATTCTGGCAAATTATTGGCGGTTCGTGTACAGTTTTGTTAAAAGTATGATTAATATTGACTTTTAGATATGTTATGTTAATAGCGACTATTTTATTTACTCTAGCTCCCAGTGCATTGTCATGGATAGGTGAATTGGATATATTTGATCGGAAGAGTATAGTGCAGTATATAAACTTAAAAGCCTCTTTCGTATAATCTCTGAAATTTATTGCATACCTAAATGGATGGATTAACCCGGTTATCGAGCAGTGCTCATAGTAATGGAAACAATCTCGATCAAAATAATACAGTATCTAATATGCAGTTGCAATCAAAAACTCTACGCAATTTTAAATTAGTTTCTGACCCAGCCTTGGTAAAAGGAGCAATTAAGATATATCGCTACGATGGTATTACACCGGAACAACCATATTCATCCATGGTACCCAGAGATCCTCGGAATCCCATTGTACGTATGCGTGCAAAACCTGTGGATCCATTGGTTCTTATTATACCACGGTAAATTGGTTTCCATATATGCTTTCGCATTATACTTTTATTTCATTTATATGTTACAGATTTAAAATTGATCAAAATTACGTTGGCCAACCTCCACCCATCGAAATTACTTTGACAAACTTAAATGACAACATAGATAACACATTTTTGGCTGGAATGTTAAGTAAATGTGGTTTATACGATGAATTAGTGATACATCACCATCCAGTAACTAATAAACACCTTGGTATAGCTCATATTGTTTTCGAAAATACAAAGGCTGCTCGCTTGTGTATTGAAAAATATAACCAAAAATCCGTTATGGGAAAAGTGAGAATGTGGTGAATATTATTCAATTCAATTTAATAATTACAATTTGTATCCTTTTTTAGGTTTTAAGTGTTTTTCATGATCCATTTGGAAAAATTTGTCAAGAAACTGTGGACCAACTTACGTCTGGAAAACCAAAACATAATTCCACTATATACACCCCAATTAATTCGTTTACACATCATCCAATAAGTGTTACACTTCAAAACAGCACAACATATATTAATTCGGAATCACAGCATGATTTTAAGAGTCAGGACATTTATAATACAGCAGATTTACCAAATTATCAAAAATTTCGTAATGAGCGTGAATTTTCACAACACTCTCAACAAAAGTACCGGAGTCATATGACTGATGAATTGCAAAGTCGAGAATCCAGAGATAAAGAACGTAGTAGGCAAAAATATTCGTATCAAACGTCATATGATCGTACGAAGAATCATTATAATAGATCTGAAAATGATAGAGAACTTTCTAAGGAAAGAAACAGAGACCGTGGGAATCGTCGTGACAGAGAAAGAGAATATCACAAAACACGTGATAGGGAACGGGATCGTGATAGGCGTCGAGACATTGACATAGAACGCGACTATCGTAAAAGAAATAGTGATCGCTGTGATAAAGATAGAGAAAAAGATAAGAATCGTAGCAGGCTTATAACACAAGAGGAAAGAGAATATGAAACGCATAATAACTATAATGTCAAATCAAGAATTCCTCAAACGTCTATGTTTTATCATCTCGGATCTTCGTTTCCACATAACTCTGTTCAAACACTAGGGCCTTCAATAAATACTGTGTTAGAACAGAATTACAGATTTCCATCATATGGCTTTAATGTCGAATCATCTCAAAATCCTTGGATTGGGCAGAGAACTTGGACTGCTCCACAACCTCAATCCGAACCAAGTGTAGATATTCCCCCGCCACCTCCCCCGGATAAAACACCAGATTGGGATGATCCCGAACCTCTGCCACCGGGACAAACAAGCCCTCAAACTATTGCAGAATCACAAACTGTTAAAAGATCAGTTATTCCTGCAGAAACTAAGGAAAATTCTGTATCTGTAGATAAAAGTGATATTACAGATTTAGGAAAAGTTGATTTAGATACAAGAATTGAAATGATGTTTAAAAGGAAATCATTTGGAAATGCTCCACCGTTTCTACAAATTGATAGTAGTGACTCGGAAGTTGAAATCGTGAAAGTCAAACAAGATGATGTAGAATTGTGTCCAGACTCTAATTTGAAAATAAAAAGGAAGAGTTTAGAGACGAATAAAAAATTTAGTAAAGAGTCACAAATATATGAGCAACATGACGCAAGTGACATTTCTTCAAGTGATGACGAAATTCTTCATAAAAAAGAATCATTGAGTCCTATTCAGTCAATCAAAGAAGATGACAGACATAATCGCCAACCATTGTCAAATGTATCGTCTCAAGATGGAGCTTATAAAAATATAAAGCATATACAGGGAAGTAGTACATCGGACGTTACGGCGAGTTTTACAGAATCCAACGTAAAATGTAGTTATACCTATCAAAATAATGAAAATGAATATTTTAAACAAAATTTCGCATATTCTTTACAAGTCTACGCTGATACATCAATATCTCGCCACTTTCCCAATCCTGCATACATGCACTCGTCATACATGCCTGGGGTTAGCAGCTTGTCTTATGGTTCATCATATAATGATGATTACGGATATTACCTTCACCAATTGGGTAGTGACAATTACAAAGCATTTGCTGGTTATGGATACAATCAAAATGATCCATTTAAGAAGCAAATAGACGCTGTAGTCGAAAGAGTAAGCATTGAATTGAAGCAAATACTCAAACGTGACTTCAATAAAAAAATGATAGAAAATACTGCTTATAAGAATTTCGAAACATGGTGGGATGATCAACTGCAAAAAAGTCGTTATAAGGAAAGAACTTCTGTTAACAGTGATCAAATTTCACAGTTTTCTATTGCATCGGTGGTTAAAAGTATTGACAAAGCTCCAGACATAAATCAGTTAATTAATAGTCAGTGTGATATGTCTGATTTGAATTCATTTACAAGTCTTGGACTTCGTGCGTCGATACCAAAATTACCTTCATTCCGTCGGATCCGTAAAGAATCAATTCCAGAGACTAAGGACTATGAAAAGCATTTAAGTGATCAAGATGAAATGGTTCATGGCTCGGATTCAGAAAAGGAAGATGTCAATGCAGATGGTAATAACGTTCGTAACAAAACTAATAAAATTGTGGCTTGCTCTGAACTTTTACCAAAATCAAAACGAAAGGCCAGCGCGTCTAGTTTTTCGTCTTCAGATTTGGAAGACAGTAGTGATGAGGGACATACAAGTGAAGATAGTGTATTGTCTGAAGAAGAATTTAGTTCATGTTCAGAAAATAATTATAATCGTGAGAATGGAAAATGTGATATAAGCATAAGGCAACAAATATCGGGTCTGATTTCTGACTATAATAAAGAAAATAATAAAACATGTAAATCTATACCTTCAAAAAATTACATATATTCAGATAGCGATGATGAACATGTAATAAAAGATAACGTGAAATCGCCTAAAACGCAAAAAAATTTTTCTATTACATCTGACTTAGAAGACATTAGTAAAGATAGCACTATTACAGTTACCGAGGATTGTGAGGAAAATGTTAAAAAATATCCAAGTGATAATTTAAATTCTGCAAATGAAAACGGAGGCGCCGTCGCTACTGTTTACAATGTCGGAACTATAAATAACACTGAAAAGGAAAGAAAGAATGTATCGAATTTTGAATATGACCGAATATATAGTGACTCCGAGGAAGAGCGAGAATATCAAGAACGACGTCGTCGAAACACAGAGTATATGGCACAAATAGAACGGGAGTTCCTCGAGGAACAAGCACTAAAATTGCACGAAACTCAGGATAAAAGTCTTAGAAGCGTAAAAGATTTAAAAAATAAACCTCTCGCAGTAAATGATATTTCTGAATTACTCCCTCAAACAGAAACTGCTACCGAAAATTTAAGAAATACTATAAAAATAGAAGAAGCGACTAAAAAGAGAGATAAATATAAAGGAAAGAGGGAGAAAATTGCGCCAGTTCTCTCTTCTAAATCGAAAAATGGTTTGAAATTTAAAAAGAAACAAGAAATTAAAAAAAAAATTCAAACTTTTATTTCACCTTTACCTTCGCAAAACAGTGTTGCAAGTATAATCGCAATTGATGAAGAAAATAAAAACTCAACTGAATTAAATAACCAACAGCCTAGTACGGTTGAGATTCAAAAAATTCAATCAGATGAAGTATACAAAGAATTTAGTGATGATGTGAAAATGTCACCGTCCTCTGATGGTGGTTCAAGTCAAGCAAGCCAGGCTAGTCAGGTTGCATTAGAGCATTGTTATTCTTTACCTCCCCAAGCTGATACTTCAACATCCTGCAACCAGAGGAAGAAACATACACATTTTAACAGAGAAAACGATAACGAAAATCCCCAAGCTGATACTTCAACATCCTGCAACCAGAGGAAGAAACATACACATTTTAACAGAGAAAATGATAACGAAAATCAACAAAACTTAGAACATGATCATGGTGCTTATGCTAATACTAATGCTTTTGGAAGCAACGCCGAAGTTATTATTTCTGAGGAGCAAATAGTTCAGCGTCAAAATTCTAAACCTGGGCCTGGTCGTCCAAGAAAGGATTCTACAAAAATTCGAAGAAAAAAATGCATAACACAAAATTCGTACGACCTTGCTGTGGAAAAAAAGTCCATGTCCAGAGATATTTTGCAAAATTTAGTATCTCAATCGAATTTTATTCCCGCAGAGCTGTTTAAAGCTCGTGATGCAACTGACGAATTGATGGTGCTATATGAATTTCTTACAAAAGGAATTGACTTTGAAGATATAGAATTTATTCGAAAAAGTTATGAAATTCATTTACAAGAAGATACATATGGGTAATTAACCGGATTTGATTAATTTAATATAAACCTTAAAATGATGATTATTTATTTATTTATTTTTTTTTGTAGATTCTGGTTAAATAATACTCATTGGGTTGATCATTGTATAACAGACCGTTCTTTCGTACCACCTCCACAAAAAAAACGAAAAAGAGAAGATGAACTTAAGCGACATAAAACTGGTTGTGCTCGTACTGAAGGTTATTACAAATTAGATGTTAGAGAGAAGGCTAAGCATAAGTATCATCATGCTAAATCGAATGTAGAAAATGCCTTAAGCATAGATCGCAGTGATGATCAGTTGCAACAATCGCATAATAAGTTGATTTCCAAAATGCAAGGAATTTCACGCGAAGCGCGATCCAATCAAAGGCGTTTACTTACTGCTTTTGGTTCAATTGGAGAATCTGAATTACTAAAGTTTAATCAATTAAAATTTAGAAAAAAACAACTAAAGTTTGCCAAATCAGCTATACATGATTGGGGTCTTTTTGCAATGGAACCGATTGCGGCTGATGAAATGGTTATAGAATATGTTGGACAAATGATACGTCCAATTGTTGCGGACTTAAGAGAATCTAAATATGAAGCAATAGGAATCGGCAGCTCATATTTGTTTAGGATTGATATGGAAACAATTATTGACGCCACCAAGTGTGGTAATTTAGCTCGCTTTATCAACCACAGTTGCAACGTAAGTATAATCATAAAATTTATTTAATTTCAAGTAAATATTTTTTTTTATAGCCCAACTGCTACGCGAAGGTCATTACGATAGAATCTGAAAAGAAAATAGTAATTTATTCCAAACAACCAATCGGAATAAACGAAGAAATAACTTATGATTATAAATTTCCTTTAGAAGACGAAAAAATTCCTTGTTTATGCGGAGCGCAGGGGTGCAGAGGGACTCTCAATTAATTATGATTTTAGTTCTAAAGATTACCTCATTAAGTATCGATACATCTATGTAAGTTTAAATTTGTGTAATATTGTTTAGTCATAAAGCACTACATAAATATACTTATTTTTAGTATCTGTTTATTGAGTTTACTGTTATTTACAGTAACTTATTTTTTGTTAAATATCTAGTTCCTTAAAGATGTATAAAATTCGTTTATGGAAATCTTGTCAACTAAGAATTGAAAATTAAAAAATATATATATTATATAACCAACGCTGTGTAGTAAATTAAGTAATTTAACAGTAGGATTATTCAACAAAAACAGGAGACACTCGTTAAGTACTCCTGCTGCGACAGTAGCAGTAGCGACCTGCTCGACTGTGCCAGTGCCAGAGGGGCGGCCCCTTCGCTTCCTCGTCAGTTAGCGCTTCTGATTCCTGCTACGCTATCCGTATTAACGCACGGCGGAGTTTACTCCTGCGGGTCTTTTGTAGCCGCCTTTTGAGTGCCACTGCATGACGGAATATTGGGCATGCTCTCCAAACAGTGCGCACTCTGGCGAATGATCGTCGATGAAACTGAACTGACTAGGTCTAGTTCCTGGGCCACTCTTACCTGTACCAGATGTGTTGAAGTCTGCTTGTTGTCATTTTGGTTGTTGTTGTTGTGATATTATCATGAACAAAGCTTTTTATGACCCGGGAGAAATTGAATACCGATGCCCAAAGAGCTAGGTTAAATTTTGTCAACTTATATTTGTATGCATGCATTACCGAAAAAACGAATTAAAAAGAATCGCCTCAAACACAAAGAGAAAGTAAATAATTATGGATATAAAAAAACTAAAAATATTATAAAGAACTTGTAAATCAGAAATTAAATTAATATTAATTAGCAAAAAGTAATTTATTAATATTATATTTAAAGAGAATCTGACAGTAAAGATAATATTGATAAAGAAACGTTGAATAAAAAGTTGGCGGGAGTTGGCGTAATATACCGAAAAGCAGTTAGTTTGCTAAACTGAAATTACCCTACAAAATGGATAAAAGTTACCTTACTGGTTACCGTTAGGTTTTTAGTAATTTATGTATAAGTAGAAGAGAAAAGTGTTACGATTTCTCCTCTCTTACTACACGTCGGTGTGATTATGTTACTCGCTCTCTCCATTGCTTTTGCGCAAATGCTACATACATATTTTTGACTGCTCTAATGGTTACCTATGAAAATAAATAAAAGTGGTTCATAGTTTATTTGTTTAGTTTGCCATTGGTTGCAGAAAACTGGTTGATCGGTTACCTCGTCAGCTTCTATGGGTTATTTGTTGGGTTATTCATTGCTTACCACTGCCTAACGTATCGGGTACTGTTTTCCTTATAAATTAAACAATTGAAATTCTAATATAATTTCTATTTAATTTACATGTTTTTAGTTATGCAGTAATTAATTTATAAAGATTTTAGTAATTATTTTAGATGAGATATCAAATAGCAGCATTTTTACATATATGTATATATTTTTGGCCAAAATTTATATTGTAACGGAATTCTCGATAAATCGTCTACCTCACTCTTGAGTTCGATCACTGGATTGTTAAAAACCTCAATTTAATGGCTATACACTTATCTTTATTTTTAATTCCAACAACTTAAAGCTTTACACGTCAACCCTAATTAGAACTGTGTCTGTTGCACAATCTGGCAGCCCTTATATAGTAGATCTTTAACAAAACTTCGCAACTAGAACATTCTGGCAACTGCGTTTTTACGTTCAATAAACGTATTTTACGTTCAATAAACATACAGAAGTATACACAATTCCTAATCAAGAGGCTGAACCAGGAGCGGACGAATTCATCATAAAGAATGGAATCTCGAGTCAGCTTAAAGTCCAGGAATGTAGCAGACTCTAGGTATCCGGAAAACGGATGGAATTAACTGCAATAAGAGAAGGACGAGATGATTTGTAGACGATCAGACTTAAGTGAAGGACAGTGTGACGAACACGGATGATAGAACAAAATCAAACGGACTATAAACTCACAAAAGCAACTAGACAGCGAATTCGTAGTCCCCACAATGTTCTAGTGGTGAAGTTTTGTTATAAATTTACTAAATATGCGTTACCGGATTGTGCAGCAAACACAACAAATCAAAAAATTTCTTTAATATTATTATTATAATTATTTTTTTTATTCTTAGACATACTTGAACTTTCCATAATTTTTTTACACAATTGCGTTTACGCTGCCAAAAGTTTAATCAATGCAGATTATTTCTATACGAAATATATGCGTACATTTGTAAGTATATAATTAATCCAAGAAAGGAAATTTTAAATAATTTTTTTTTTAGTAGTTTTATATGGAAAGAGTTTTCAAAACACGCTTAATTATAAAATATAAAACACGTTATAATAAGGCAGTACCTTCGCCCAGGAAAATTTTTCGAAATGAACTTGCACATATGGCCACATAAAAAAGTTGCATGCCAGTTCGAATACTTGTCTGTGTGGCCGCAACGTAAAAACGTGAATGCTTGAGTTTTTGAACGGTTATTAACTCGTGTGGCCGCCCGGTTAAGAATCGAATGATCGGACTCAAGGTAGAGTTTCAATGTAGACGATTTATCGAGTAAATTCGTTTTTCATTTCTCCACATTTACCGATATAGTGAAGGATATCGATATTTTTCACATTATTATTATTTACCTCTAGTAACGTAAACATGTCCGACCGTTTAACACAATTGCAGGACACAGTTAATCAAGTAATTTTAACAAATAATCTATTTCATGAAAAAATTTTAATGTTCTTGCTTTTCAGCAAGCTGAGCATTTTTGCAACGCTATTGGTATAATTCAGCAGACATCGTATCCAAGCAAGTTTTTAAATTTTGATCGGATGGGCTCCCAGACCCCAATAAGAACAAACACACAAGAAGATTACGCTCAACTATTTGCACAGCTGATTTCACGTTGTGCAAAAGACATAGACACGCTAATTGAGTCATTACCAAATGAAGATAGTTCAACGGAGCTTCAACATCAAAGCCTCAGAAGACTGGAAATTGAAAATCAAGAATCTGCTAAAAGGCTTGACGATACTGTTCAAAGTGGCGAGCTTTTACTAGAAAAAATACAAATAGCGCTTGAAGACATTGCACAGGCACAATTAGAAATGCATGTATCGTCCACCAATCGTTTTAATTATTTATAAATTATAGTTGCCGAATTTTTCAATCTGATGTTGAATATCACCAAAGGAAATATTGAAATTCATTTCCTAATATATAAATTACTTTAAATATTAAAGAATTGTTTGTTTTAGTTTGGAATAGCTTTAATTTGGGTTTAGATAAATATGGGTTAATCATTAACCTCTCCTCTGTTCATGATTAATAAGATATGTACATATGTGCGTATAACTTATTAGGGTAATTGTGTGGTAGTGGACTTGTCCTTGATTTGTTTGAAAGGAGTTCGCCGCGAATGAATTATGAACTCCCCAGTTTTGGACTGACCAGGTATATTTTTTTGCATCACGGCCGAAAATAAGGCGAGTTAAAAAAATTATAATTTTCGCGGCCTCCTTCGTTGGGGCACCTAAACTATACATACATTTACCATTACGGTTACCAAACTGTCATAATTTACATTTACGGAAGAAATCGAAAACAGTTTAGTTCAGCAATACAATATTTACAAGTAAGCAAAAGGTACAATAAAAAATAAAATTAAAATCTATAGCTAAAGAATCATCCATATAATATACATATTCACATATGTATGTATGAACTTGTATATACAGGGTGGCTGACGAATCGTGCTACAAAAACAAACCGTAATAACTATTTTTTTAATAAACGCACTACATTTTTTTATGGTATAGTAAACTTTTTTTTTTATTTTATATAATTAGTTATATTTAAAAATTATGGACCGTAAATGGACTCCATGCTCAGCCGCGCATATGCTACACCTAATTTGAAATGTATAGCGTCCTGAAGGGTTAAAGTCGGGATTCCCTCAATTATCGATTTAATGGACTGCTTCAATTCGGTAAGATTTCTGGGTTTTGTTTTGTACACCTTTTACTTGACATAACTCCATAAAAACAAGTCTTTAGTTGTTAGAATTAGAAATAAAGATAAGAGTATAGCCCATAAATTTGGAATTTTATTTAACAATCCAGTGATCGAACTTTGGATTGAGTTTCAAGGTAGACAACTTATCGAGAAATCTGTTACAATATTATTATAGATTATAATATCTGTATAATAATTTAATTGAGGATAATTGTAAATTCCCTCAATATATTGTACATTTTCTCTCAGTAAAGCAAAATGCGAACAACGAAAATTCTTTACATAAACGTTTAGCATTACATTTGTATGAAAATTGATCTTACGTAGTATGGTAACATAGGTTCTTGCACGACCTGTAAGACTATTTTGACACGAGGGCCCTTTTGATCGCGCAAACCGGTTTTTGTAGGGGAGAGACGAAGATACCGTGTTTCATGCTCGCTTGTGTTCTTGGTGTTAACAGTTTCCCTGCTACGCAATTTGGCACTCGTTTTCAGTTTGAAATTTCATTATTAGTTGCAATAGCGCTCGGTTTCAAAAGAGTATTTACGACATTTTTGGAAATTTGAATTTTTTACCTATTTTTTGTATGTGATATGCAAACATGTATGTAAATATCCATATTCTCATGGAGATATTTTAGAAAAGGGTGAATAAGTATAAAAATTGGCTAATGAAAAATTTTTGATGCACCGTGTTTCAGAAGTGTACAAGAATTTAAGAATGTGATATAAAAGAAAATGCGGAAAATTGTTCAACACAGGTTGTTGTATCGCTAGGGTGAACACAATGAGCGAGACCAATAGAGATTTTGCCGATAATGAGCGAAAAAAAGGGTTCGAACACAGTCAAGACAGTGGGAAGAAATACATTTTGAGATTTGTAATGTATTTTTGAGCATTTCTTGGTTTCCATTCCACAGCTAAGGTATACATAATTGACATTCGTTTATTCAACACTTATATGTACATATTTATATATATATATTAATCACAAACAATTTTTAAAATTAACATTTAACGTCAATAAATTTTTTTTTGTACATTTAAAACACTTACATGTTTAAAACAACCTAAGCATGAACCTTTCTTTTTTTCCTGATTCAATTATATGTTTAATAAATAAATTTTTTTATAATATTTTGTATACCTTGACATTTAATTGAAACGATAAATACCCGTTCTTCCTTAAGTCTCTTTAAATAAAAGTTAGAAATGCTCGTTAAACTTCGTAAATACCTGATCTCACATATAACGCCCTGCTTCCGTCATTTTTTTCTGCGGAATTTTAAGTTGTGTCTCGTTGTTTTCGTTGTCATCTTTACAAAAAGTTGACATGACAGTGCTGCCAAATTAAACTACGAGATCAGGGATCGCTCAACAAGCAAAATAAAAAAATTTCGTATCATATTATCCATGTTGTGCTGAGTGGTTCTGTAAGGCTTTCGTGAACATCACAGTAGAAAGTACTGAGGTGACCTTATCTAAAAGTAATTTAAAAAAAATGTTGTTTAGCTAGTTTCTTTGCATATGGTAGCTTTTTCATTGTAGTTGAAAAGTGCTCATTGTGACGGGACTATTACTAGAATAAATAATTTGCTACCCCTTGGTGAAAGTGGATTCAAACTTGAGTCGTTGATTACGCCTGGTTTAAGTTTACAATGGAAACTAAAATATACTGAATATTACGTGGTAAACCACTAAAAGAGAAGAACTATTATATTTATATAGTTCCTATTATACAAAAAATATGGAAGTTAGTCGCTTTAAAACAATTCAGTGAAGTAAAATTTCTCAAAAATCATTTGTAGTTTATTTACCTTTTGAAAATTAATTTGGTTTAATTTAAATAAATATAATTCAATTTCAAATTAGGATTAAAAGCAAAGTGTACAAAATTATAAATTGTATCTACATATATAAATACAACATTTCATAAAACGATTGCATAAAATAAGTAAATTAAGTTACGTTAACCCCAATTTAATTTTATATTTATAAGGGAGAATCATTACCAAACTTAGTACGGGCATACTTATAAACAAGTTTAAGCGTCATATATGTAGCTTGGCACATAATACATATGTACATATGTATATACTCATTCATAGTATGTATGTTTGTTGAAGCATACAAAAGTGTATATAAATGTACGTATGTGTGTATGTTTGTGTCTGTACTAACTACGGTCAATACTGATATACCAACGAGACTTCAATACATTATATTTGCTGTTGGGTTAACAGATTTCTGTGAAAAAAAAAATTGACTGAAAACCAAACATCTGAAAATTGTTAAAAGCCGAATTTAAAGATCAGATATGTAGGTAGTACTCGTTGTATATTATTTACTATTTTTGTTGAAAGGTAATATAAAGAATGAATGAATAAACTTTCCATTCAGGGAATTTTCACGTCTTTAATTAACAATAGTGATGAGCAAAAGCTAAGAATACGAGCATGTTTAGCGTAGTTGCCAAATTGTGCTTTAAATACCAGCTAATACCGCTTTGGCTTCGAATTGGGCTTAATGCTGTGTACCAAACCATAGAAAATTCTGACATATGAAATTGACATTTTACGCGTTAATTTAGGTATGCGCCATACAAATTATATGGGCACGAGGAATTTTTGACAGTAATTTTCAGCTGTCGCTATTATTTAGGGACGGCAATTAATAAGAAAAGTTCTTGACTCCTCCTGAACTTTTATTATTTAGCGGAAATATTGTAAACTAATATTGAGATGATGGAATTAAGTAAAAATAATATTTTTTCAGTTAACAGATCTGATTGTAAATATATATACATACATATGTATTCATACACGAAGATACATGTATCTATGTCAATACACCAGCCCTCATAAGTCTACTCTCTATTGTAAAATAAATGTTTACTGCTTCAAAGCTTAGGAATTATTGCTCAAATAACTGAAATTTTTTATGTATGCTTTGTTTTTAATAAGCTAAATTGCTAACGGTACTAATCATGCTACGCAGATAGGTGAGGCTATAGATAACGGGACTTTTGTTGCCGAACCAAAGAAATTCATGCGTCAAAAGTGTACGCATTATTGTATCGTACACCCACTAATTTAAATACAAACTCATTGTTATAGTAAAAACAATCTTAATAAAGCTTTAATTTATAGACTTTTTAACATTTTGCGGTTTTGGTAGTAATGGAGACGAAGTAAAAAAAATTAAAAGAAGTGTATTGCAAAATAGTATTAAATATCTTTCAGTTTAATCTAAAATAACCCCCAAAATAGCATAGACAATTGGTAGAAATTGCACATCAGTTCGGACAATTATTCAAAACAATCATAGATCATTGCCGCCCCACATATTTATTTATTTATTTATATATGGCAATAAATTATATAAATCCTGTACATTTAAAAGACAAAAGTGATGAGCTTGAGCATTGTTTGTGCGATTGTCATATTTGTGTATATACGCAAAAATAATAAAATATTTAATACATATGTATATCCTAGGGTTTTTCGTTTTAAATGTGAAATGAGAGAAAGAGATGCAAAGTTTCGTGATTGAACTAATCATTGCTACTTATGTATATTAAACTTTATCTAAAAAACAGGAACCCTACTGCTAAGTGATTATTATTTACTGAATAATTATGGAACATTACATTACTGGGATTTAATACGTACAAATAAAAACCCCTATTACGGGTTTCAACTACATTCAGTTAACATTGGTGTTGCCAATTTAGAATATTAAGATTTGAGAGATAATTAAACAGCTGAACATTTTTAAATTAAAAACCAACACTATTCAATTCAGTTATTGCTTTGTGGACTTTAGTTTTGATTTATATTACGATGAAAAAAATGTTGAGGTCAAATCTGATGTGCTGTGATCAGTCAAGTCCTTTGGAACTTGTTAACATCAAGTAAGCCATAGTTTATTGTCAGTTAAATGGATATTTTCGTTTTAATAAAGAATAATTTTTTTACTCAATGAGATGAAGGAAGGTGAAGGTCGTTATTAAAAATGCAGTTTAAATGATATGATGTTGGTAAAAACGTTTTAAATAAAAAAGTATATTCCTAGGTATATTAGATTCTTGGACTGGACTCTTTATGTTCGAAACATTTCCCACGATCCCCTAATCGGATTGAGTTAATATCGATAATACCGGATTTTAAAAGATCAACCAAAATTCAGCTGTATAAGTATTTTTTTTTACTTAATTACCTTTACAAGGATTTTTCTCATAATTAATTCATGCCACACAATTTATTAAAAAGTAGATTAAAACTTTTGTTGATCTATTAAAGATATTACTCTTTCCGCTTTGTGTTCTTGTTCGTAACAGTTCGCTGCTACGCAATTCAGCATTCCTTTTCATTTTGGAATTTCGTGGTTCCAATAGCTCTCCCATTCAAATGAATACATATGATATGTTAGGAAATTTGAATTTCGTTATCTATTATTTTAGCGATATTAAATGTAATAATATAAGTATACATAAATGAATTCTAATCAAAATGGAAGCTTTACTTTTTTTTATATTTGCATAAAATATTAACATGCTTTCACATTTATTTTTTTTAACCGCAAAGGACTTAGTTCGAATATCATTTTGTTTAAAACAAGAATCGTAATTAAGTCATGAATGTTTTATAATAAATAGAAAAAAATATGGAGTAAAAAAGTTATGAGTTTTTAATACTTCCCGAAAGATTAAGAAATTTCTGTTATAAATTGGGTCGTGAAAATATTAGTAGCGGGTATTCAATACATTCTGGTGGATCAGAGAATTCCCGACTTAAGTATTTCTTTGAAACAATTAAGCGGGTATTATGCATATTGTTCTACCACATTCATGGTAATTCCTTGCAAGCAAAATGTGAGGCCACCATCACTACATTCAAATGAAATATACAATACACTTCAAGAGTCACGTGGCCGAATCGCACAAACATTCGCGAAAATTTTATGGAAAGAATTGACGGAAAAACTCGATTCGAGTTGCTGGACTCTTTTTGTCGTATGAACGCACAGAGCGACACCAAAAGAGTATTTGCGAATAATGAGCGACAAAACGAATGATGAGAAAAAGTTACAGTTATCTATTTTTTTCTCATTATTACAATTATTTATAGAGCATTCAATTTCTTACAAAACTCACAAAACGAAATATTTTTATATATTATATAATATATATACACATATATTATAGTTGCAAGCAAGATATGAATTCATCAGTCAGGAGTGTTGTAGAACACCGATCGTTGTCGGAATCAGGATTGAAACCGATAAAAAGGGTAGTAGGTTTAATGAATTCTGATATTATTGGTCTCACATTTGAAACAAAAATTGTATCGGTTTTATCGGGTTTGTTATCAGAAACAAAGCAAGAGGATAGTCGTTGACAGATTTGAAATGTAAGTTAAGAAATTAACTTTTATTATTGTTTAGATTTAATTTATCTTAGTTTTTAAAATTAAACACAAACACTCATAATTATTGAGTTTTAAAAATAAATTCAGATGTTTTAAGGGGATTTACAAAACGTAATAAACGTAATTGAAAACCCAAATGCGTCTTTATTCAGTCGATAATGTTATATAAATCTGTAAAGTAAGCATATATATAAGCATACAAGTAAATGCAAGCTAAATTTCTCATGCGATTCCCCTGGTGCATCAAGTGGATTACTGTGATCTCTTATTTTCTTCCTTTTAATATTTTCGTTACTTTTTTCTTCCAATAAAATAAAAGCTAAAATAGCGAAACTCATTGTAAACTTTAATGGACTAAACTACTAAAGTATAACCAATATGATTGTAAGGAAGTTAAAAAATTAGATACTTGAGGCATATTGAATCGATTCCAATAATATTTGGTATCAGAGCATATTTTTATCAGGAAAATATGCTCTATGAATTTTATTGTGTTGTCTCATAGGTACGATATGCATAGATAGTCTAAGTGAAAAAATCTTCGGGGTACAATTTAATATTTTTTACGCTTTTTGTTAAACAGTTATCGTATTTTTAGTAACCATAACTTTTGAATGGAGAGTGGACCTTGTTATCATTGATTGCGCTCATTTTCGTACCGAGCCCTTTAATTTCGGTTGAAAGCTGTTCTTCAGAAGTTTGTGAGATATACACATATCTACATTAAGCCTATTAGAAGGTGAACCAAAAATTATTGAGCATTAGTTATAGCACCTAATATATTAATTTGTTGCTTAACGCGTCTTGTGGGTATACCAGTGTTCTGATCTGCGATACAAACCATATTAATGCTTGCATAGAAAACATTTTAATTTGACGAGAAATCTTCACGATATTTTGCGTGAGTTATTGTCTAAGGCAATATTGAAATCTCCGAAGAAATTGCTTAGTTCAGAGCATTGCACATATAGCCATACAAACTGTACGATCGAAACCAAGATTTTGTAAGGAATCTTTGGTATTTGTGAAGGGTAATATAGCTTCGGTGCAACTGAAAGTAACGTTTTTTCTTGTTTAATTTCCATTACTTCCTTGTAGTTTAGTTTACCCTTTAGCTAGATTCGTACAACGCGACATTTTAGGGGAATCCCGCAAATATCATATTGTATACTAATATCGTACTAATTTTCCATTACTTATTGAAAAGAATCCTAGTAAAAATGTTCTGCCCTAGAGACAATGTAGCATGTAATCATATATACATATATATATTGAAGTGCGCATGTGAATGGCGATAAAAAGATATATTATATAAATTTCTGTGAAATTCCTTATAAAGACATACATTGTATACTTACTAACATAAAAACACTCATCAACTTTCGTATAGGTACTTCTTCAGAAGGCCCAATAGACTGACATGAATATTATAGGCAGGCATAATCCCAACAATATCACGTATTTTATGTAGGTACTTGTATACTTATCATCCCCCAACAAAACTAGCTCTGACTTATATAGACTTGCTTTTTCGGCATCTACATTTTTAACTCTCTGTTCTCTATCTCTTTATATAATTCCTTGTAACGAGCCATACAATATTTCAGCTCAGCTTATTTGCAAGTTGAAGCCCTTCAGAAATTAAATATGCAGTAAGTTTAACAGGTTCTTCGCTGTCGTTGCTTTCTATAGAGTCAGCGTTCTCTGAGGCAAAATGTAATATTTCATCTTCGCCAAGAACTTGATCAACCAGCAGCTCATCAATAACATCTAATACCAAGTCTCCAAAACCATCTCCACCAACTGCGTGTGACAAAAAAAAGGTATTACCCTAAATTTGTGCTATTTACAATTGCCCTGACCAGTAAACTTGCTTATATCTACAAAAAGGACGCGTGGTTATATTCCGATTTAAATCGTGCTAAATGGCATAAAATCGTCTAAAAAAATTAAAAATTTGTATACTCTTGCAACTTGTTACTACAGAGTTTCAAGTTAGTTGAATTTTTGTTCACTTAACGGTTGTTTGTAACACTTAAAACTAATAGAGATAGATGTAGTAACTATCTACATACATATATAAAAATGGTCAGGACGACGAAACGGGTTGAAATCCGGTTGATTGTCTGTCCGTCCGTCTGTCTGTGCACGCTGTAACTTGTGAAAAATTGAGATATCGGCACGAAACTTGGTACACGTGTATCCTTGTTTAAATTGTAAGCCGCGAATTAAGATACTAAACTATAATTTGATACAACGAATTGCAATAACGAGGCAACTGTGGTTTGAAAGTTTTTAAAAAGTGGCCGTGGCCGTGTCCCGGCCCCTGATAGGTACAATGTATATATTTCCTAAACCATTAAAGTTATATCACCCATATTTGCACAGGAAAAGTCTTTAACAACTCTTACGACAAATAAGTGAAATCGGATGATAACCCCGCCCACTCCCCATATAACGGTTTTGTTAAAAACTGCCAAAAAAGAGCGCTAAATCTATAAATAAATGGGCCAGAGTGCTCGACCGATTTCAGTAAAATTTGGTGCATGACTGACGATCCAATGTTTCAGTGCAAAAATGGCTCAAATCGGCCTAAAACCACGTCTATTCCCATATAATATTCCATCTGATTATTTCACGTTCCAGTATACAAATCAAGCACCAATTAATATAACAGGATAAAACTTAGCACGAATAGTGCCTGAAACGTGTGCCACCTTATGTGACCACAAATTTTCCAAATCGGACTAAAATTATCCAAACTCGCAGATACTGAATATGTGGACCCCATATTACCGAAAATATTGATCAATCTGTGATATATGTTATTGAAATTCCGGAGCAAATCCTTTCCTGATAATAGTATGCATGTATTTTAAAAATGGGTTGAATCGAATCAATAATTCCCTTAGTCCCTATAGTTTACCATACTATTGAATAAAACGCAAGACGACAGAAAGAGATTTGGTCGTCCTTGCGTGTTTCAAACCAATTTAGCCATAAAAACGCATTCGCAGAGATCCCCGCAGATAACGCGCTTGAAGCAAATTAAGCTCTATAGTTGTAAGCCGGTTCGACAGTAATAAGTGGTCAACGGCCATGAAAAGATCTTTTTACAGATAAAAATTTGTTCACTGTTGAAGAAGTTTTTAATTAGCAAAATGACCAAATCTACGCAAAAACTTCCAAAGACGCGAAAATGTCATTCCAAGGGTTCAACGTACAGCTGATGTCATGGTTTGGTGAGGAATTTTCTGTAAAGCATTGCACTTCTTTTTTTCTGTAAAAAATGGGTTAACCTGAAGCAAAAGTGAACCAGCAGGATGTTTTACAAGGCGTGGTAAAGCAGTTAAGCAACACTATTCATACATACATATCTTCGATGGACAGCATTGGATTTACCAGCGCGATTCTGCTTTAGCACACAAGGAAAAACTTACCAACAGTGGCTTACAATCTATATTCCTGGTTTCATAGGTGCAGAGTTGGAGAACATGGCCTGTCGAATACCACACAGAATTTGGAGAGTCTCAAATAATCTTTGGTTCGAGCCGCGTCGTCAATACCAATAGAAACTGCGCGTGCTGCTATTCATCAATCCTTCGAGTGCTTGTATGAAAGCAAAACGATTCCGAATAAAATGTTGTACATCATTCATTCAATATAATTATAAGAGTTTCGTTTTTTTAACGACCTGAACTTGTAACAGAGCTTATGGAGGGACTAAGTACATATCTAAATATCTATAGATTTACACATCACAACATCACTTTTGTTTTTACTACAAGTATATCAATTAACTACTTATCTGCTTTTCCGTGTGAATAATCATTCAAATAATTTATACTGCGCATACATCTACTTACATTTTTTAGGTATTAAAAGGATAATTGTACACCTAAAAATAATGTATTCTGTTATTAACGTTGCTCTCTCCTATTTGGTAATTTTCTATACCGCTAATATACCACAGTGTTGTGGGCACGGACGATTGATTGAACCACCTAGTAGAGCATCAGCATGGCGATATGGATTTCAGACGCCACCTAATTACAATGACCACGAATTATATTGTGGTGGATTTACACGTCAATGGAAGCAAAACAACGGCAAATGCGGTGAGTGTGGTGACGCATGGGATTTACCTAAGCCAAGACCTCATGAGTTCGGTGGTTTTTGGGGAAAAGGAGTAATCGTAAGGAAATACTCACCAGAATCTCTTATGCTTATTCGTGTTGAACTCACAGCCAGTCACATGGGGTACGTAAAATTCATTCATTAAGTACAATTTGAAAACCGTATATTGCTTTGAGGAAAATAATATAGGTATATATACATATTCATATATCATCTTTATACCATTGTTAAATGGTTAAAACCACGGATAATGGGATGCCCAACTCTTTCCAGTGTCTCAAAATTTGCGTTTTTTATAAAATTTTTGGGAATTTAAATTAAAATACCCAACATTTATTATGATATTATTATACATGTATCCGTTAAACTATTAAAACCCTTTTTTGTGATTATATAATAATATATTAAAACAAAAAACTGTGGACTTCTCCTTGCATGCATCTTCGCATCACGTGCAGTGCATACTGTAACTGTTAACAACTTTTGTTTTTGTTTTTCTATATATTTACACAGCTGCAAGATTTCAAAGTTGAAGTATGGCGCGACAAGTGTACGTAAAATTTTGGGTCGACTTTAGACCTTACCTTAGAATACCGTCCCAGGCTTTCGGTGTTAAAATGATGTAATAGAGGGATAGAATGATTAGAATTGAAGAATAATTTAAATATCGAAAAAAAGCTATTTTTGAATCATATAAGAGAAATTAAATGTCTAAAAACGAATTAGTGAAGTGTTAGTGGATATAAAGGTGAAAAATATAAGTGCATAATTCGTTATACATTGAAAAAATACGTACTTTAAATAGTTTAAATTTTCAACGTAAATATCTCGAAAACTATAAGTTTCCCGCGGCTATATCTATATATTTTTGATCTGGAGGACCTCCTCTATTATACCCATTTTATCCCCGAAAGCCTGGGACGGTATTCTAAGGTTTTCCAAAAAAAATTTTCACCATTTTTCTGTAACAAGTTTATATTTGGAAAATATTAAATTTTGTTAAATTTTTGGTGATATTACTGTTTTAATTAAAAGAAGCAGGTATGTATTTGCTTAATACTTTGTTTCTGTGCATTTTACGTATTTGTATTCGTGTAGATTCGTCCTTGAAATCGAACTTCTGGATAATGTACAATGTTTTGAGTTCGCCGTTCTTCTATGGCGTATATGTTAAATTGATTCGGGCTAGTAATTGTTTGGTTTGTTAATATTCTCTATTGTGAATGTGAAATGCGTAAAAATATCTTCTATTAATTCCATTAATCTCATCGAAATCCAGAACATCATCAAAATTTGCAAAAAGAAATATTACATTGGACGAAGAGGTGAAACTGTTACTTTCAGCTGAAAATAACCTTTCGTGCAACTGTCCTTCCAATACTTCTGACTCCGAATAAATTTTTTTAATGTCGTAAGCGTAAATTGTTATTTTAAAACCTAAATTTTTCTATAAAAAAAAGATATTAATTTTATTAATTCATTAATTTTTTTTTTAATATTGTTTTTTCGAGTTTAACCAAAATTTGCTCTTATTTTTTAACTATTAAAAGGAAAAACTATAACGGAGATTGTTTTTTTATTATTCTGAAGTTATTAATTAATCCGTGCCAAATACTTTACTGGTGTTTGATTTGCATGGAAAGTGAAAGAATCAGATGTAATTTAAAATTGTGTTAAATGGGAAGTAGGCGCGGTTGTAGTCCGATTTTGTAACAACATGTTGGGCTAAGGGCTACGTGCAGGAGCAAGGCGTAACATTTATACGCTTTAAATTTTCACTGTTTAATATTTCAATGACTATTCCATAAAATAAAGAGGCGTTAAGATAATAGACATATACTTGGCTTTTAAAAAAAACATCTCTGTAAATTAAATACGTTAGCACCAGCAATATTTTATTTATTTTGATAGATTTGCAGGAATTTTTTGATAGCAACTTTCTATTACATGATATAAAGTTCTCGAACACCTGAAAATATTTCTCTGCCTTCCTTCCTCGATGTACATATTTCAAATTATGTGTAACCCATAAAGTGGATGTACGAAATTATGGCTGATTTTTATATTATTCTTTCCAATATATAACTTAATATATTTATTTTTTTACTGTTACAGGTATTTTGAGTTTCGTATTTGCTTACAACCATATGCCCAGCAGGAGTGTTTCGACCAACATTTGTTGAAAATACAGTCAGGATTGCTGAGTCAATCAATGTCAACTGATCTTGAAACTAGATTTTATCCGAGAAATGGCAGTTTAATATATGATATTAAAGCCCAACTTCCTAAAGGTAATGATGTGAAACCCCCATTTCATTTTATTTTAATATCAGTTGTATTCGTCGAAAGGTTTGAATTGTAAGCATTGTGTCTTGCAATGGCGTTATTTAGCTGGTAATAACTGGGGTATTTGTCCGGATGGAAATGGTGCTCTAGGCTGTGGACCACAAGAAGAGTTTCGCGCTTGCTCTGACATCGCAATTAACGATCACGAAAACAAACCGGATTCTCCGTCCGAACCAAGGGCAACAGAAAATCCAAAATACGGACAGACACCCAAAGAACATTTCGAAGAATTCAATTATATCAAACTGATAATTTCACTAATTTTGCTAGTCATTTTCTTTTTGACAGTTAGCGTTGGGTTTTTGTATAGAGCGAAAATTACTCGTTATATAAAATTTAATTTGTATACCAGACTGCGCAAAGTACACCCGTTCTCAATTATTAATATTGCATCTAAAGCCGTACCATCTTTAAGCACTACCTCGCCTTCTTTAGAAGCTAAAACTTCAAATACTGCTGAAATTAAGCCTAGTTTGACACCACCAATACCGCCACCAAGATCAAAAAGAAACCTTCAAGTTTACAATTTGGAATTACGATAGTTAAATAAAGTATATAACTTTATAAAAATAGTTCAAAAATTAAGATCAAAATATTAGTGTATATATAGAACAGTTTTGAGTTATTTATTTTTAAACAAATCAAATCTGTATACTTGTTGGCGATAGAAGAATACACTGTTATAGTAATTAAAGGCATGTGGTTTATTTGGTTTATTTTTTTGAAATTTTTAAGTTATCCTAATAATTTAAAAACCCGCAAAATTCCATGCCTTAAGGAAATCAAAAGTTTTAGTCTAAACCTTATGACTTTAGATTGATTCAATTCAACAAAGTAATGAAAAACTTAGATTTACAACATAAACAGAAGTTAATTGAAATTTGGTTTGAGTAGTAAATATTGTTAAACCGATTCAGAAAAAATATATTTTAGAATTATTTATATTTTATATAAAATTAAAGCTTAATTATGGTAAGTCTATACTGTTTAAGCATTTCTTATATAATCAATTGTCTTGCGTACAAATAAAATAGTCCCCTTATGAAAACGCAGTAACAAAACATCGAAAACAAGAGTGGTCGTTTACCACCAAGAGAAATAGACTAAAAATTTAATTATTTTGGAAGCTAACGAACTTTATTACCTTACCTATTACTATAATACAAATTTATTAAAATTTTTAAAAGCATTTTTTATTAATTTGAAAGTACTGTAAGATCCGATTTCTTTCCAATGAATATTTATTACATAAAACAAGTGATTTTTTATATTTTCTAATAAATATTTATTACACACCGTTTTACATATCTTTGATTAAATTTATTTATTTCATATATAGGTATATATAATATATAAAGATGTTATTCATTTTTACAATAAATTTAAAATAAAAATGAAATGTTACTCTTCAACATTAGGATATTTTGAAAACATGTATTTTACCATACGACTTTGGAAAATAAATAAATTTAATGTACATATAAGATCTATCAAAGAGAAGTCTCCAATTTTCCCAAAATATGATTTTAATAATCTGTATCTAAAAAAATAATACGCCATATTTTACGGGTTTCCTTCGTTAAACGTGAAAAATCAAGCCAGCGGCTCAAAATGTGAATAGTGTTTATAGTCCTGAATTGTAAAAGTTAATCAGGCGAAATTTTGGTTTCTTCAAATCTGTTCCGGTAATTTTGATGTCAAAGATGCACCACACTTTGGAAGGTTTGCCGAAAATATCGGTAATAAGCACTGTTTCGGTTGCCCAGGAGCTGGCCATTGCACTAAAATCCATTTGAAACTATTTAAATAAAACTAAAATACTCGATACCACACGAATCGCTACTAAATCACAATAAAATTAATGTATTTGGAAATGTGGCTCAGTAGAGTCGCCCAATAGAATGCAATCTTTAATTAACTAAATAGTGGAATGGACACAGTGCATAACCTTAAACGAAACGAAGTAAATCACGTAAACTAAACTAACAAAAGTGGTAGACATATCTCTTTATATACTCGAAATGAAGTAATCCCGTAGGGCAAAATATGTTTCGGATGACTTTATACCGCATATATCGGTCAAAATGTGAGTTATCTCAATGAAAATGAGAGAGCGTGTTTAACTCATAAGGTATGTTTGTGTCCAAAATGGATCAAATCGGGTGAAAATTTTCCCTTAGTCCCATGTATCAGGATTTTCGAACATTCGTCTGACTTTACTCTATATGATTGGAGATGGTATGTGAGGTACCTTAATGAAACAGTGGGAACATTTTATTAGTCAGTGGAATGTTAGTAGTATGTGGTATTGACAAAATTGATAAAATCGGGCTAATACTACCCTCAACTTCCATATACTACTTATAATGCTTTTCATTATTCTAATCAGTTTTATGCCGAAAATGTCGGTCAGTGAGTATTAATATTTTGTTTATATATAAAATTGCTTCAGAATATGTTTTCGAGTATAGCTGAGCAATGTCAAAATTAATATCTTTCTCTATCCCCAATATATATTTATATGATTTCCGTCTTTTCACCTGACTTTAAATCGTTCCGGTTGATCAAAATGATTCTTAACAAGTAAGGAATACGGAGAGACAGTTGGGGCCTCTGGGGTTTGGAAGATTACCTTTTTTTAAATTAATTTTAATTAGGTAATACAGATCTTTACAAATAGAAGACTTTGTTGGAACATAATTTGAAACCTTCTTTGGATATTTTGGACTTCGGTTCAGGCAGCATCTTGAATCTTCCACCAAAATAATCCAAAACACATATTGAGGATTGTTAAGAACGGGCTGCTTCTTTATGCTCCAAGGCAAATAAACCTCACGTAATTGAAAATGTCTGGGAAATTTTAGAGCAAAAATAAGATAAACCAGATTTCTAGCGCTGCTATTCTCAAAGAGATCATAGAAGAAAAAGAAAAAGCCCGGATTTAAATATAATTGAACATGTCTGGGGAATTTTAGAGCAAAAAAAAGATAAACCAGATTTCTAGCGTTGCTATTCTCAAAGAGATCATAGAAGAAGCTTGGAATAGCCCTCGAAACCACGGAGGGTTCAAGAGGTTATAGATCGCAACGAGAGCCTAACTAAATACTAAAATCTTTCAAAAGTTAATTTTGTTATATATATAGGCCTTTTTCAATGCAATATTTTAGTTTTTCTTCTATAACGTTGTTGTTTAATGTTAAATAATTAATTTTTTTAAGTTTATGGTTTTTAGAAAGAAATAATTGTTATTAAAAGACTAGGTTAACACCATATAAATACATTTTTCTAAATTAAAATTTTACTGTTAAAGAAGTTTTTAATAAGCAAAACGACAAAATCTACGCTAAAACTTCCAAAGACGCAAAAAATGTTATTCCAAGGGTTCAACGTTTAGTCTCTTCAATGGAGAGCATTGTCTGCTCCAGCAAAAAGCACCCAGCAGTGGCTTAAAAGCAATATTTTTAGTTTCATAGCTGCAGACCATTCGATGGAGAGCATTGGATCTTCCAGCATAATTCTGCTCCAACACACCAGCCAAAAAGTACCCAGCAGTGGCTTTAAAGCAATATTCCTAGTTTTATAGTTGCATATTATTTCAGCGATCTAATAGCGTTTCCTTTTCTTACAAAAATGTTGCATTTTTTTGCCCTAAGCCCGGGCTTTCAAAGTTTCGTGCTCGTTTGTCAGAATGTTGCCTTCTAGCCTGAAGAAAGTGCCACATGTTCTGCCCTTCTCATAACGTAAGAGTGAGGGTTGCATAGACAAGGTTTATTTTCCGTTTTTGATATTTTTTGGTTCGACTTAGACAATTTTTGGTCACAAGGTGGCATACTTTAAACGTATTATTCACGCAAAGTTTTACCCCGATATAATCATTGTTGCCTGATATGCATAGGGGAAAGTGAAAGAATCAGATGGAATTGAAACTGGTGTTATATGGGAAATAGGCGTGGTTGTATTCCGATTTCGCCCATTATACTACTATACTACTATAACATAGAAATATGAAAATAACGTTATGCACCGAATTTTGTTTAAATTGGTTAAGTAGATTTCAAGATATGGGTTTTCACCTAAAAGTGGGCTGTGCCACGCCCACTGTCTAATTTTGAACGTGGTTCCTATAAAGTCATCTCATACCATCCCAGAGATAAAATTTAATGTCTCTGGCGTGTTTAGTGCTTGCTTTATCGCGCTTTTAGTAGTTTTTAACAGTACCGTTATATAAGGAGTGGACGGAGTTGCCACCCGATTTCAACTATTTTCGCTTCCTGTGGATTTTGTTATTATAGCATTAGCGGTTTAGGAGATATGCACATTAAACCTATTAGAGGCGGGACCACGCCCACTTTAAAAAAAAATTTTAACTCCAGATGCCCCTCCCTAATATAATCCTGTGTACCAAATAACAGTCTTGTATCTTATTGCGGAGCTTAGTTATGGCAATTTATTTGTTTTTGATTAATGGCGTTTTGTGGGCGTGGCAGTGGTCCGATTACGCCCATCTGCAATACCAACCGTCTCACGCTTTCAAGAAACATGTCTACCAAGTTTCATAAAGATATCTCAATTTCTACTCAAGTTACAGCTTGCACGGACAGACGGACAGACGGACGGACGGAGAGACGGACGGACGGACAGACAGTCACCCGGATTTCAACTTCTCTTCATCCTGATCATTTATATATACATAACCCTATATCTAACTCGATAAGTTTTAGGTGATACAAACAAACGTTAGGTGAACAAAACTATTATACTCTGTAGCAACAGGTTGCGAGAGTATAAAAATATTGGTCCTAATCATATAGCATCCCCGAATTCGAAGTTAAAATAGATATGTACGGACAGAGGAGGTTCTTCAGATTAAGAAAATATTACATTTAGTTGCCGCTGACTTATTTTTTTTTTTTGAGATACATTTAAAATTTAAAAATTCAACTATTTAAAGTGCACGTTTCTTTGATTAATAATGAATGAAGACCGGGGTGTGCTGGGTTCTTTCTCGTGGAGCTCCTTTGGCCGCGCCTCAAAAAAATTACCCTGTTCGATTTAACACCGGGATTTACGAAGAGAAAGGAAATTCTAAAAGAGTTTGCGTTACTCATCACACGATTATGAATTTTGTATTGACGGTATAATCCTTTTTTATCAATTTTTTTCGTTTGCAAAATATGGTAACATTTAGTTTTTGCTTGCATGTAACCTTTTTTTTATGTAGGAATAAATGGATTGGAATCAAAATTAATTATTGAATTAAAGTTATTTTTGCACTATTTATAATAAAAGAAATGTGTGAAGACGAATTTGTGAAGTGTTAGTGGATATAAAAGTTAAAAATTAAATGTAAAATTTATTATAAATCGAAGAAATACGCACTTTAAGTTGTTGAATTTTTGAACTTTAAATGCAAATATCTTAAAACCATTAGTCAGTGGAAATTAAATGTATATTTATGTATATTTTCTTAATATGGAGAACCTCCTCTATCCGTACATACCCATTTTGCTATTCTAAATCACAGCCGAACTTGTAAATGACAAAAGACAAGGTTCTCTTTTTCCTAAAATAAAGCTTCACCAACATTGTATTGGAAATGTCTTCAATACACCATAAATATGGCCCAAACGACATTTTGTGGTATATTAGATAAAGTACTCAACATTCTTGAGTACAGGCTAAGTTCAAGGTGGATTTCCATTAACGAGAAATTGTAAGCAAACACATATTTTTTTGGCAAATCAAAAATTCCTGGTTTGACAATGGCAGTTGATGCAACTCACGTAAATATAATGGCTCAATCAAGAGATAATCATCTATATATAAACCGCAAAAGATTATCAAGTTTGAATGTTATGGTGGTAAGGCTTTTTCAAAATTGACTTTTCACTCAGTATTCTATATACTTTCTATCTTTCTTCTATCTTTTTTATATGTATGCCCCCACAAGATGCAAATACGATAAATTTGCGCTAAATATCCCGGCAGTAGTCATAATTTTCACATATGAGATATGAGGGATTTGAAAATCATCAGCGCATCAAATTATCGGAGAGGAAATGAAAATTTAAAACGAATTATTTTAAATTAAAATTAAAAACTTATGATTCAAGTTCTAAATTTTTTTGGATTCCAATATATCGATGAACTTTTTTTCCATAACAGCATTATGTTGCTTCATTTTCTTAAATTTTTCTTTTTCAATTTCATTGAATTTTCTAAGCCACCTGTTTGTTTCAGACTGTTGGGCATGTTCGCTCTGTTGCTTCATAAGCGTGTTAAGGACTTTTGAAACATCGTCCTTTATCGTTTTTTGGATATTTATTTGCTCCTCTATAGAATCGTTTTGTTTACTTTCTGTTTCTTGTGAAGTGTACAGGATAAATCAGTATCAGAAATCAGGTCAGACGTCAAATGTCTCTTCTTACTTGTACTAGGCAGGTCATCTAAAATGTTTGTTGATGTTTAAAAACATTGTATGCCTTTTAATTCCTCAACTGATGTATTAAGGGAAAGGATAGCGCTGATCTCCTCTTCGAGGGAACTTAAATTTAGCACGCCACCTGTTCCAAAAATGTGCTTTGTATTTTTCGCCATTTTCTTTTTAACTGCAAATTTAAAATTAATCCGAACCTCTAAATTAACCAATATTAACCCTTGACTGGATGGCCCATAACGTTTAACTTTTCTGAAGTGTCTTCCCAGAAAGTATTTATTTCCGTTGGTGCTCTTAGAGAAAATAATTTAGCTATGACTGGGTGCAACTTCATTATATCCACAAGTAATTCAAATTGATTTTTGTTGGTGTATTAATGCTTCTTGTCTCTGAAAATAATACGCATTCAAAACATAGTTAAGCGTCCTCAGCTATTTTTTTTTTACATAAATACTTGCAAATGCTAAATTTTTGTCAATTTATGCAGTTCACTCATCAACGGATAGATTTCAATAAATATTTCGATTTTGCGGTTCCAATAATTTCGAAATAAGCGCCATCTATTAGCCACAGAATGTATTTTGTCATGTCGGTAAGTAAGTTCTAATTTCATTTTCCATACGATTTCAAGGATTTCACCGTAATAATTATCTTCGGGTGGGCTGTTGTACTTACCATATATTTAATATTTACTTCTTATATTACTGATTTAAATGAAATCTTTAATAATTTAATTCTATCTGATTTATATTTTCTTATAGTTATTTATACTATACGATTGTCCATCTAATCTTGTCTATTTGGAAAGATATCTATAGTATGGTCCAAGCTAGAATGTGCCATTTTGATATGGAGACCATATCATGAGTACCATATTAAAAGTTTTGACCGCGTTAAAAAAACGGATCGATAGGATCGAGCAAATCATTGTAATTTTCGTAAACTAAGAAAAGAAAGAGAGAATTTTTACTCTTACATAGTTTTTCAAAAATAAATTTAAAATTTCTAATTGAAAGAAAAAAAAATAACATTGATAAATGTTTCGGTGATATATAATATATAAATCTACAGGATGATTGTAGATTTTGTTCTTGGGTTATTTTTGGTTATAACTAGCTACGATATCTGTGACCCGTTTCTCACTACCTATGTACAAGTATATATGTACATATGTAATCAAAACTTTCATTCAAAACAATGCTTCCGTTGATTCACTGCTTTATTAAAATTTTCTAAGATATAAAACAATTTGTACTGATATATCTATCTTTGTATATAGAAATTATGTATGACATTTTCCATGCCAGCACTTGATTCCGATCGTTTTATTTGTATAACAGCTATATGCTATAGTGATCCGATGTAAACAATTTCTTCGGATATTGCATTATTGCCTTAGTTCTCGTATATCGACTCAGCTAATCAAAAAAAGTTCTTAATTTTTTAATCATGTAAGTATGTACATTTCGGTATAAAAACTAAATTATATTTATGATTCTCTTGGACATGAATTGGATTACTATAATCCCCTAAAATCTTTCGTTTTCGTTTCTCGCCTCTTTCGTCCTTTAATAAACTAAGAACTGCAATAGTATAAAACTAGTTTTCCGTGTTCGCAACTTTTTTCCACCAATAAAATAAAAACTGCAATACGACAGCTTTGATTTTGTTTATATTTGGAAAAAAAGGAAATTAAATCTGATTCTGTGACACTATTGAAAATCACAATAGTTTTGCAATTATTCTGACAACTAAACAAAACAAACTTGGTTTACACAACAACTCTAATTAAGTACATATATTATACATATATACATGTATCTAATAATAATCAAATTAACTTATCAATCCGGCAAGCAACTGCTTGGCAAACATTCGAAGTTGTAAAGGATCGCCTTCATTAAAATCGTTAAATATCAATTCCATTTCTTTTTTCAAACCATCCGATATTGAAGTCCTTATTCGTTCCTTGAATAAGTTTGTAATTGGTGACAAAATTAATCCACTTAATTCTCTTATTATTTGAATTTGATCCAATTGAACATGTATCTTTCTATAAATACGACATGAGAAATAATATAGTATACAGTTATATATGTATTTTACAAGAACTAGAGTTAAATCAAATCCTTTGAACTCCTACTAGATGTCCGTTTTGGTTTTGTGAATAAGATACCTGTAATCTATGTGGATACGAATTTTGTATGTACGCCAATAAATTTCTTTTTTGTTAATGAAAATTAGTTCTTCTGAGTTATACATACTTCTAAAGTAACATGTAATTAAGAATCCAAGTTTTTTTCGTACCTGTAGTCGAGAATGCGAAAATCTTGAAGGGCTAAGCTTATATTGGTCACATCTATTGCTATTTCCGCATGGATAATTGTATCTTCCAAATTACCCATTACCTTCCCATAACCATCAATGGGCATTACTTGAAGAAGAAAATTGTATTCAAACTGAAATGGAGTCAAAAATTAGTTTAAAAGTTTTAAATTAACTCGGAGTCTACAATGTTGTGTAGCATTTTACAATATTGCCATAATGAAATTTAATAAATGAATGTATTAATGCACTTTGTAGTCAATACACTATTTTTTCATATCGTCCATCATCTCAGTAGTTTTTCTCTTCTTACTAAGTCGGTATGTTTGAATTCCTAGTTGCTATTGTTGATGAGTTATTGAGCTTATTTTTCATAGGAATGACTTCATTAGCGCACACCGCGGCACATTGCATAATAAAACTTATATCATTCATTTAAAAAGAATTTTTGCACTTTGAGTAACAAAATAACTAGTGCAGCCGGTATCAAACTGGTTGACTTTATACAGAAAATGTCTGTATATTAATAAGGCATCTTAATGAAATTAAGTAAGCTATATTGCTAATAATAATGTGATCTGATTCTAAAAATGGATAAAATCAGTTCAAGTTTCCCTTAATCCTCACCTCACCTACCTAATGATTTTGTTCTATAAGTACAGGTTGGTTGAAATCTTTCAGCGCCCGATATGAAAAAATACTGTTTTTGGTACGAAATATATTTTTTTAATCAATGTAATCTCCCTTAACTGCAATACACTTATCCATCCCTAGAATGACTTTCCGGAAGCTCTGCAAAACATTCGACGAAAAACGCTTTCCACGAAGGAATTGTTTCTAAAGAGGAATTATGAACTTGCTCAATGATTTCTGGTGTGGTTGCGGTTTTTGGTCGTCCCTCGTGTGGATCTTCGTCAAGCCTAGTACGACCACCTTCAAATTCAACGGTGAGTTTTGAAGGTGAAGACTCCTTATACACTTCTTACAATAGTTCATAAATTTCCTTTGCTTTTAAACCTTTCAAAGCAAAGAATCTAATCACTGCGGGATATTCAATTTTTTGCATATTACAAAAATACTTTGACACTTATACAAACCCTTATACAAAACACGAGTTAACAAAACTGTTTACGTCTTTTTTTACAATTTACATGCCATTTGACGGTTTTTCTATGTCGTATATTTTCAATCTTTAATTCATAACATCGACTATTTAGATGGCGCCATATTGTTTGTATTATTCTTGTTTCTAAGTAGCTAAACTTCTAGCAGTTAGCGACACCTTAGAGTTGAACAATAGGCTCCTGTTTGGTGAGTACTTTTTATTGTATTATAAATAGAAACATTTGAGAGGTTAAGAGTTGACAAAACATTTTTTAAGCACCCTTTACTAACCGCTTAAGTAAAATCTAATTATAGAACTTAGAACTTACAAAACGAATTCTAGAGAGAAAAGGAAGTAAGGAAGAGATGGAAGGATATGAATTAATAACACTAGTTTACAGTCATTTTGCGACTGTGGGGTTAGAGGCTGTTTCTTGCTAGTTTTGGGTTGCTAAAACCGAAAACGATAATAAAAATTTCCTAACACGTATAATTGTTTGTGATGTATTCAAAAGGTGTAGAGGTCAAATCACCAATATTTACTAAAATGAAAAAAATAGATGTACGTGATGGAGAATTGAACTCAAATGCGTAATCAGAACACCTCAAACACCCATTCAGATCTCTTAGCACATCAGCTGCACATTTTTTTTTTGTTGAGTAGTGTAATTTGTTGTTCGATAAAAATTGTGATTGGATTACCATCATACTTGACATCATATTAATTTATATGTCTTATAGGTTGTGTAGCTTTTAGTTTCATTACAGCATTTTTCTTTATGTCCGAGTTATTAATAATAAAATCCAAAACAAAAATTACTGTATTCATAACATTAGTGATGTAAGCAGGTAATAAATACAATAGCCATAACTTTTACCACCGGAAGTCATCATGCTAATCGAAATATATATTTGCATAGATTTATATGGTGGCTAATACCGATATACATATATGATATAAACTCAATCGAAGGGTCAAAATTTGATATACTGCGTATATTAGATATAAATCTACCAGAGGTGCAGAAATCATTATAAAACTAGGAGTTTGAAGGCTAGACCAAAGTCTAGAGCAATATCATGATAGCCTGAACAAGGTATATAAAGCTTGCCACGAAGTTTTCAACACCCAGAAAGAAATGCTGGATTTTATAAAAAACATATACACTGAAACCCTTTTTCGTAACAAGTGTTTTCGGGAAGCTTCGAATAAGAGAATGCGAACTAAAGACGACGAGTTTGATTTAGATCGCGCACACGTACGCATGTGACGACGGGAGAAGTGTTTTTCTAAATAACTTACATTTTGAAATATTATATTTAAACTATTTACTTAAAAAAATTATTGTTTTTAAATCACTAGAAACTAAATATTGTGAAATATTTTAGTAAATCACAATATTTGTCCTTAATTTTCTAAACAAAACTAGAACGTGTGGGATCAAACACCACATATGTAAATGTTCAGCAAGATGAGCCCAGTCACCATGTGCGTCTGTCTGTTCTGTAGTTCTATACGCGAACTAGTCCCTCAGTTTTTGATATATCGATCTGAAATGTTGCACAAGTCACAAGCTGCTATAGCATATAGCTGTCATATAAAATGACCGATAATAATGAGTAGGGTAGTTTGTAGACCGGTTTCACCCTTTTTGACACCAAACTATGGTACATGTATCGAAAATTATGCGTTTCGCCCTTTTAATTTCAATACACCATCTTACAAGTTTACCAACAATTTTTGTATAAAGTCAGACACAGGCCCTAAAATTGTTATGTTGGTCTCACCAAGACATAGCACTACTTGCTCCAATGTTTTTTTTTTCTAGTTGGTACATACATATGTTGTGAGAATACATGCAAAGTTACAAGTAATTTTCTCAATTAACTCTTTGTTTACAAGCCATTTGAAGTTGACGTGTCAGAGTATTTTTTGAAAATGGAAAAATTGAATATCCCGCAGTGATTAGATTCTTTGCTTTGAAAGGTTTAAAAGCAAAGGAAATTTATGAACAATTGTTAGAAGTGTATAAGGAGTCTTCACCTTCAAAACTCACCGTTGAATTTAAACATGGTCGTACTAAGCTTGAAGGCGATCCACGCGAAGGACGACCAAAAACCGCAACCACACCAGAAATCATTGAGCAAGTTAATAATTCAACAAAAACTGGATCGAAACCAAATTTCTCAGCATAATTTGGAGCATTTTAAGCAGAATAAAACCGATTTCTTGCGTCGTTTTAAAACTATGGATGGGACTTGGATCTACTACCATGATCCTAAATTGAAACTACAACGTTTACCGTGGACTGAAGCTGGTTGTTCAGCTCCAACGCAGGCGAAGTCACAACGAAACAAAGAAGGTTATGGTTATGGTTTTTTGTGATGCATAAAGAATTTTGTTGATTGATTATCTGATAAGACAATACATCTGCTCCCAAAGCTGTTTTAAAAATGACAAAAATCAACGAATTAAAATACAATTGCTTGAGCATCCACTGTATTCACCAGATTTGGCTCCCATCGACTATAACCTCTTCAGAAACCTGAAACAATTCCTTCGTGGAAAGCGTTTTTCGTCGAATGAAAAAGCTATTACTACCGTTGACGGGTATTTTGCAGAGCTTCTGGAAAGTCATTATAGGGATGGCATAAAATTATTGGAGGATCATTAGAACAAGTGTGTAGAAGTTAAGGGAGATTACATTGAATAAAAAATATATTTCGTACCAAAAACAGTATTTTTTCATTTCGAGCGCAGAAAATTTTCAGCCAACTTACAGCTTTAGGGGTTTGTGAGATATGTACACAATGTGGGTCTGGCAATAGTCCAGCTTCACTCATTTGCTAACCAACCAATTCTGTTTTGCAAGTCTCATCCAGCTATCTCAATATGTACTCAAGTTATCGCTTACTCGTACACTTACGGACAGACAGACTTCTAGAATTCGACTCGTCTCATTATCCTGATAATTTTGATAAACCTTTTACAACTCTATCTGTATCTCAATTAGTTTAAGCTGGGACAAACTACCTTTAGGTGAACGAAACTATTATACTCTTTGCAATTATAATACACCTATGTTATAAAAACAAAATAAAATATGTCGGTTGTAATATTCAGAGAATATTATTGAAATTACCTGTAATTTGTTTATTTTCAAATCAAATCGAATATAAAACTTTTTTTCCTCGTAAGTCATCATAGCATCTCGGTGTCGCTTTATACCTTCCACGTTATATACTATTCCGTTGCTTAGAATCAGGCGTGTCTGGTATACGACCAAAATAAATGTCTGTAAAAATAAGAATGTTTAATGTAATCTATTAAAATGTACATCTAAAGTCGTGGAGAAACTCTTAATACCGTTTTGACCGCCTTAATTGACAGTATATTGGATAAATTTGGGAGTACTTTTCATATTTGCCCTTTCAAAAGCAAAAAAAAAAGAAAAAATATTATATTCACCAAACATTTTCTAGTCATATATTTATTCTTAGATAATACTTAACAAGGAAGAAAGGGCTGAATTCGGTTACTTTTTTGAAAGATCTGTTAATTTTTTAATTTTGGCTTTAACTCAAGTACTATATGCACCAGAAAATAGTCCTATACAAGTTCATTAAAAGAACTTACATATTTCACATGGGCCAGCAGGCTAGAGTAACACACGGACAAACCGGTCCCGTTTTTATTCAAGAATAAACTCCACCCGATTTCATCACACATTGTCCGATATAAGAGGTGTGTTCAAAGGAAAAGGTAATCCCCTTCGGATATAATACACTTGTGCCAACGCTTTTTCCAATTCTCGAAGCATCTTTGAAATGAGCTTCTCGGTATGACCATCAGCTCTTTCTTTGATTCTGATTTGATCTTATCAATTGTGGCAAAACGCTTTCCTTTCATTGGTTTCTTCAGTTTTGGGAATAGGAAAAAGTCGCAGGGAGCAAAATCTGGTAAATACGGTGGTTGAGGCATGATTACGGTTTTGTTTTTGGTCAAAAAAGCAGGAATAAGCATTGATGCGTGAGCTGGTGCATTATCGTGATGCAGAATCCACGATTTGTTTTTCCACAATTCCGATCGTTTGAGCCGTATTGCTTCACGCAAACGTTGCATAACTTCTTTGTAGTATTCCTTATTAACTGTCGACCTTTTGGCAGGAACTCATAATGCACCACACTATTATAATTAAAGAAAACAATGAGCTAAACCTTCACATTTGATCGAACTTGGCGTGCCTTTTCGGTCTTGGCTCATCTGGCAGCTTCCATTGGGATAATTGGGCCTTGGTTTCGACGTCATAACCATATACCCACGAAACACTGAGCCATTCTTGCTTGCCCACGTTTCGTCACCAGTTATGAATGTTTGAGCAAACCCGAATCGTTGTTGACGTCATTCAACAAATCCTGAGTGATACTAATGCGACATTGCTTTTGCCCAAAATGTCAAATTTCTTTGTCAAAAATCGAAGAGCACATAAAAAGTAACCTTTTCTGTTTTTCTGTTGTCAAAAAAAAAACTGCTAATCGAAATTGGCTCCTAAGCACATGATAAACATATGTGTCCGATTATAACAAAAACCAAATATTGATAATCGAATGTACACAGCCCGCGAAAAATTAAAATTCACCTTTTCCTTTGAATACACCTCGTATAATATAAGTCAAACTTTAATCGCAATTATAGCTTAAGCAAATTTTAAAAGTGCATATCTTCTTATATCTAATTAAAAGAAAAATATTTGGAGTATACTATATTTGGAAGGCTATGTTACAATCAACCACTGAAAAAAATTCATTGTGTGTTCAAATGAGTAATTGGTCTCCAAATTATTTAGCAGAAATATTATAGCAGGCACTTCAACTAATGTTATGGAAAATCTTAACAAGCAGTGGTGTTGACAGACTATTTAAAAGTTTTCCCTTTCCCACGACAACCTGGTCTACGTAACCGTAAAGGACCCGGATTTTAATCCAGCCAAGGACTGTCAACTCGGTAGAATTCTGTCGTTACAACAATAAAGACAACAACAACGACAGACATGTTAAAACAAATATTGCGGATAGGAAGCCAGATATAGAAATGAAACTAAGAGTTAAAACGATACGTAATAGAAGTAAATAAGATTAGAAAAACGTAATTAATCGATATCGCCTAGTAAATAATATTGAATTTATTTACAAATTTTCTTACAGAAAAGTTTTTCTGATACCTAGACATATTCCCTAGGCCTTTATAACAGTATCAAGTGTTCGGTAGCGCTTGAACTGAGAAATTCTTGCTTTACCTAGATCAATTTATTTAAAAGTACATACCAAAGAAATCGTTTCTGTTATATCCGGTAGATTCAAATGTTCGATTTTTATACTATGCAAATGATTTAAAATCATTGGGATTACTACATCCACCTCTGCGTTAATGTTTGTCCAGCGAGGATCAACTTTTACCTCGTCCTCTTCATTCGATTGTGACAATTCGAGTTCAGAAGAATTAAAATGACTCTGTCTGCATAGGAAAAGAAAAAGAGAAAAAAAAAAATGAGGTGTTTTTTAATATGTATATGACCCGTATTCTTTATCTTTTATACTCTCGCATTTTACTGCATATAATAGTTTTGTTCTTATAACAATTGTTTGTAACACCTAAAACATGCGCTCCTTGCTTTTCTAAAAAGAAAATCAAATTACTCGGGCTCAGACTTAATCGCAAATTAAATTAAACAATTGAAGGCGTTTATGTGTAGTTTTGTGATCGTAGACGAAGCACGGCTGGTGCAGATGTAAAAGGAATGTTGAACTCATGTGCAAGTTTTTACAATACGGAGGACATTTCATTCATATACAAGCTTAGAGAAGAATGACATCTCACAAATCAAGATGTCAGTAAGCACATTAATGGAGCAGATAATCTGATGTCTAAAAAAGCAATAGGAATAATAAATCATGTCGTTTATAACTTTGGACATCTAGGTCAGAATTGCAGAATATGACATTGAAACTATTATTGAGGGGAATGAAATAAGTTTCGAATTTATATAAACGAGAATTAACCTTATAGATAATATATTAGAAATAGTTTATTGGTATTTTATATTGTACTTAAAAGTTAACTCAATCATATATATTTATTTTAGTAAATAAAAGTAAACAAAAGCAGAAAGGCTATATAATTGATATAATTTAAATAATATAACATGTGACAACATTCGCTTTTCGTCGTAATTTTTTGGATTAGTTTATTACTATATAAAATATCATAAATTAAAAACAAAAATGAGCTAGAAATAAATAATTAAAAATATGTACATTATCCTGTGGTTGTTACACTATACTTGTAGTTGAAATTATTGTATGATATAATAATATAATAATAAAGATATTATTTTTCCTAAGCAGTGAGCTGAAACAAGTTATTTCGTTGGCAATACACCGTTTACAGTTTTTTTTGGCCAAACGGCCTTCGGGCCTTTGATGTATTTTGGTAAAATTAGTCCAAACCATTACTAATTACTAAACCGCCTCCAATATATTCTAGTTGTAGTTATTAAAGGTATTGAGTCTCCGATAGAACGTAGTAAAGGTTGTAAACAGTTTCAATAGAAATAAAGTACCACAACGATTGTTCAAAATTGAATTGATACCAAATACTATCCAGCTGAAGAAAAATGAAACGCATCCGATACTCAATATAAAGATCTTCTATATCGTATGTTAACGACACATTAAATAAGTGGTCCGGTACAATGCACAAACAGCCAAGAGTATGGACACGCCAATATTATTGAACCCTACGTAGTGTTTGTGTAGTATGTCGTGATTTACACCCTGCATCCAAATGTACCATTAAAAAGGGAATTTAACGAAAAATGTTGTAACTGTGGAGGTAATCACATTGCAATTTACAGGGGTTGTCTTGTAAATAATGACTTGAAATCAAAGTTGTCGCTCGGAATTCAAGCATGTCGTAACGAAATGCCAAATAGTCCAATAGTTGAAATCACTGACAGAAGTTTAAAACCTGGCATTGTTAAGAATAATGTGGTCCAAGGAAGTTATGCAAAAGCGGCAAAAGGCAACCCTGGGCAAATACAATTAGCTCAAAACCAAATGTTGCAAAAATTTTTAAGACAAAAATGAGCGAAACTAAACATTTGTATATGGAAGGCCAAGGGTGTTAACCAACAAAAATTGAAGACCATTCGATTTCTAAATGAAAAAAATATAGATGCAATACTATTATCACAAACATACATTGGGAATCATTAGATTTCTAAATCAAAAATATATGGTACAGAGGTACAAGGCGGTTGTATATTGACCACCTCGTTTTAAAATTATAAATTGCCCATTTAAAGACTTTTTGGCACCCTAGGAAATAGATTTCTAGCAGGTGATGATTTCAATGCAAAACATATATATGTATTGGGGCTCATGTCTAACTAATCCAAAAGGAAGACACCTCTTTTACCTATTACGAATAGGCGCAATAACCTTGACATAGTATCTCCGAGTAAGCCGACATACTAGCCCAGTGATTCCAACAAAATCCGAGTGGAGTTGAAAACCGTAAAAAGGGCCCTAATTGATTTTACTGTAATCAAAAATATAGATAGATCACTTATAACTGCTGATACATGAACTGACTTATCTTCTGATGATTCACCTGTGCTAATACTTGTAAAACTATGCGAACAACCCTCGGTTGTATCGTTGGATGGTTAAAATATCAGTAGCCACATATTGATTACAGAATAAACTCAGAAAGAGATATTGACCAAAGCGTTAGCGAAATCAATGATATAATAACTAAAGCAACTATCCAACAACACCAAACACAACTTACAAGCCGACTGGTCTCAGAAGAATCACAAATATTGAAATAGAAAAGCTTGTAACTGAAAAAGGCGAACTAGACGTGAATGGCAAGTAAATATCTCCCCTTTTACTCAGCTGCAATTGATGTCTGCTCTACATAAATTAAGAAAACCGCTTAAGTGGGCGAAAGAATACAACACTGAAATTATATAAAGAAATTGAACCCAATTCAACCAACAAGCAAAACCCCTTTGGAAAGCCCAAAAACACTTTAAGCCACAGGAATTGGGTTATTCCCATAAGAGACGCAAGTGGTAATTGGGATCAAAGTGAAGAAGAAAAGACAATTTGGGTAAACTCTTAACCCAATATATTGCCATCCTAGGTGTAAAATTTAATGTCTCTGACGCATTTAGTAATCAAATTATAGCACCCTTAATAATTTATAACAAAAAAGTTGTATGGGGAGTGGTCGTGGTTATCATCCGATTTCATCTATTTTCACGCTGTCGTAAGAGGTATGAAAGTGATTTGTCCTGTGCAAATGTGGGTGATATAACTTGAATGGTTTGGGAAATTACGGTTTGTATCTTAATTTGGGGCGTAGTTATGAGAATTTTTAAGTATTTGAATAATGGAGTTTTGTAGGCGTGGTAGTAGTCCGATTACGCTCATCTGCGAACTCGTAAATTTTTTGCCAAGAAATACGTGTATTCAGTTTCATTACGATATCTCAATTTTTACTCAAGTTACAGCTTGCAATGATGGACGGACAACAGACAGACAAACATATGTCAACTCGTCTGGAAGACAGAAACATAACCTTCAAACATTTATTTATCGATATATTTATTGATATATTTTAAAATCTGTTGACTATCATGATTAAGATTTTGAACATGCGATATAAAATCCTCCGATGTTCAATTATTTGTAACTTAGAAGTGAGCTTTTCCACATCAGATTCGTTTATGTCATTCACGGCGGCGAATCTTCCCTTCATTTCACAGATAACGCTGTCAAGTATGTCATACAAAGTGTTTCTTTTAAATTCAATTTCATCTTTACTGCAATTTCCATTCTCCTTCATGTAGGTCGTTTCTGTGTTCTTGCTGGTAGTAAAATCGTCTCGACACGCTCTAAATTCTCTGCAGAAATTTGTCTTCCAGAAATTGCAAACTCACAAGGTTTTCTATATTTGATCTCCTAAAGACTCAAGTTTCTGTCATTGATTGACTGACGGATTTTAACCCATATGGAGTCAATCAAAACACACCCAAATTTTCTCATGTATTTCAAACTACCATCAACGTCTCGACGAGTTTCTGCCGTAAGGTTTAGTTTTTTAACTTCTTTTAAAGCGTTTATCGATCCGGGAAGATTTGTCGCAAATGGCTTGACGGCATCGATTCTAGCAGACCACCTTGTATTAGAAAGATAGTGAAGTGAATTGGGTATTTTGGATTTTAGAATTTTTCAACGTTGTGTGCTACTGAAAATAGCATTTCAGCCTAGTCGACTCCGACCAAATACAACGTGTGGGCGAGAAAGTTGCATACTTATTCACGTTGGATGTGATTTTCGCTCCTTCATACTTACCGCTTATATTTCTACCTTATTATAGCCCTGCAAATGGCAATCTTTCAATGTTTTGCAACTTAAAGCGGTAATAGCTTTGCCGTTTTTTTTCATGACAATTTACAAAAACAAGAAAACGTTCCTATATCGGTAATAACAACGTTTAAGTAAATGTTCGAATTAAGTTCCTATCAAAAGCATTCAAATTGTTAATTATTCACTTAATTTTTTGAAAAATACGGGCCTTTTCGAGAACTCCGCTTTCGGGGGAGATCACCCCCGACCTACCCCCTTCTCGCTGGGCCTGGCCATTTGCAAGCCATTTTGTACCACATCCAACAAATATTAATTAATTTATTAATCTTTTGCAACTATTGAGAATTATCGGTACACTCTCACAGCTAAATGATGGTTAGAATTATTTTCTGTCTGTATAATAATATAAAAGCTTCTTAACTATATTAAAACAGTCAATTTCGGACCTTAAGCTGAAGTTCCATAACTCGGGTATGCATATGCGAAAGCAATATCGTTCCAATGCGCTTCGTTGTGTAAAATTAGAGCAGCTCTATAGGGTGTCATTATTGAGGCATAAGCCAGTCATATACACGAAAAAAAAAAATTTTAGTATATGTATTTTGTACTTTAAGTTTTTTCGAAATTAAAATTTAGAAAATAACAGCACATCTTTAAAGCGTGTCGCGTAATTGGCTTTCAAAATTTAGAAATATTTTCTATGCCACCAAATCAAAACAAAAATATAAGTGACATATTGCCGAGGTTCGCAATAGCATAATCGGAATTCGAACAAAAGTTTTTAATCACAAAAAATTTTTTATATGAATTTTCCGTTCAAAATTAAAAAATACATGGGATTGGCTTATTCACATGAAGTTTACAATAATAGCCTTTTCACACAGCAAAATAAATTTTGTACATTAAGATTAGAATTGAGAAACCAGTTTTTGCCTTTCACACAGCCGGCTACTCGGTTAACGTTAGGCTCCATTAACGTTCAGCTAATTGCTATTTGATCAATAAACAAAGCATGGACAACAACCCGCAGAGTTGCATTCCAGTTTTAACTCGATTTGTATTCGATTAAGAACTAATGTAGTAAAATCAGATTTTTATTTTGTATGGTAAATCGATCTAAATAGCGCTTTAATCGAGCAAAGGCCGGTTAATTGATCAATTAACTCCTGTAAGAAAAGGCTATATGGCTGAACGTATGTATGTATGTGCAAGGAAAAAATTGGTCGCACCAATAACGATGTAAGCATATATTTATTTTTAAATCTCAAAAATATTTATACAATTATAGTTTACATACATCTATGTAGGTTGATACGAATTTAAAAAACATATTTTGTTGTTTTTGTTTTAGGCGAATAATAACAATTTTGGCTACGTCCTTCATAAGCGCTTGCATAGAATCTGTTTTTTATTTATTTTTTAACTTCCTTTCATTTTTCACAGCTTGTGGGGTCTTCAATAGTTTTACTTTAATAATGGTCAAATCTCAAATGGCCTGGGCAATTCGGAGGATTTGCCTCTTTAGGAACAATAGCCATTCTATTGCCTTGGCACCACTTTAAAGCAATCTTTCCAAAATGATATGTCGCGAGAGCAGCCCGAAAGGGTACTGGGTCCTTATTTATTAAAGGCAAAAGACGCTTCTGTAAATACTCAGTAACATACATTACTTGATTTATACTTCCGCACTGGCGAATAGCCGCCAAGCAAGACATTTTTTTGGGATTTTGTCGAGCTTTTTATTTTTAAGGCCTTTGCATAAGAAGGGGATGACGATCACACGTACACAAGAGTTTCGGTTAGAATTGACGCTCATAGATTTAACAGATTAAGTAAAAGAATTAATTATTGACGTACATACATATTTTAAAAAATATTGAGTGAAAATTTGAAGATTTACGATACTTATCGTGAAAGATGTAATAAGAAAAGCGTTGCTTTTGTTAAACGTTTTGTAAAAAAAAACTAAAATGTGTTAACTCAAAGCATATTGTAACCATTTCCGTAATATCTATTTTTTAAGAAATAAACAGTTTTTTATATACAATACAAACATTGAAGTTCACGATATTATTACACAAGGTACATTGTAGAACATTCCAAATTGAAGAAGCTATTTATTGAATGAAAAAATTTTATGTCGATTTAATCTATAGTTAGATTTAGAAAGTCCGGAGAAAGGGAAAATAAACATTTTATTAATAATATGTATTTATACATCTATCCAAACAATGAAATTTAAGTGTTAGTTATCGTTTTAATAAATTAAAGCGCACTCAAAAAATAAAATAAATCACTTTTGTACGAAATGAAATGTATGCTGATTAAATATATACATAAGTATCTCCGAACTAGAAAAGTTTTACTCAGATTATCCACAACATGTACGAGTAATCGGATATCACATTTACTTATAGGGCATTTGATAGATGCCTATACCATCAATATTACATATATGTAAGTATATATAAACTATTTTGTGTAACATAGTGTAATAAGTTTGTTTAAATTATATTCATTCATTTTACAAGTTTAAAAATATCACAATATTCTTTACATAACAGAGATATGCAAAAATAACTTATGTAGTTCAACATATGTGATCGATTTTGAAAACTCCCCTTCTACTAGTAGACCCAGAAACTGTTACCCCGCCTAAACTTAATATCATATTTTCATTTTGTATTATTGTTCTCCTTACTTTCTTCCCAAATGGATACTTTAACTTGAATACCACACTTGAATCTATACCTCAGAAACAGAAATAACATAACCGCTTGATATGAAATGTTCACACATTATGTGTTAATAATAAGAAATTTATTTCATTATGTAATTCTAGAAAAATCATTGTATTGTACCGTTCTAATTGGGTTGTTTACTTTTTTAACTTCTTTGTTTTAAATATTTAACATGATTTTGGTAATCGAAGCCTTGCATTTTGTCGCATAATAGCTAAGTAGTTTTGTTTTAAAATGTACACTCACCTTATTTTCCGTTCAACTGCGACTGTGGGATCCATAAAAAATAGAATTTTAAGCAAAACCACCCACACTAAGTAGTTATTCACGTACATTTCTATCAAAATATCCCAGACAGCGAGAAAAACACAAACGACAAAGTCAAATAATTGGTATTCAATGAACTATGCACAGGCATGATGTCAGTCGTTATTTGTTCGATCAATTTGCCTTGTATTAAGTACAACTTTAAACTTAAATTGTTATTGCTAAATAATTAAATTATTTATTGTTATACTGGGTTTACACTTTGTAAAACCATAATTCCATACAATTTATTCAATTGATTGAGAATCGGAACTATATAACACACCAAGTTGGTAGTAAAATTAAATTTATGAACCGCTTGTGGAATTCGGAGGTTTTTTCTTCTGTTTTTGCTTACTGCGATAATAATGAATATAGATATTATATAAACTGTCTACAAACGTGGTACAAAAGCTCTGGTAATTAGTCAGTAAAATATTTTTTTACACCTGAAATGCCATACATCCAGCGCTAGATAACTTGCTTGCTTAAATCATTTTAGGTATTATTCTTAAAAAATATTGTGTTTATTTTAAATGTTTGTTGCAACCCAAAAGGAGCCAAATGAGCTATGGCGTGAACATCCCTGTTTTTCAAGTCACATGCTTACCATATGTATGTACAGTAAATATGACAATAATGCGGTTCGCTGCAGTCAAAGTGGATCAACGTTTTTTTAGTCTGTACTATTTAAACTTCATCACAAAAAACAGATATACCAATATTTTATAGATATAAAGTTCACTGATATTTAGGTTAAAAAAACTGTGGCCTTAGCCAAACTGACAGAACTTATTACATGTTGCCTTTGATTTTGTGAACACGGCTTAAAGCTCATCAATGAACAAAGAGTAAATTAGCAAAAGGTATATACCAGGTCTACATATGTATTTTATTTTTAATATTTGATAACTTTCATTACGATGAAGGAAATAAAAGCTAATCTTATCGCTGACCGAAGCTCAGAATAATAAAATAAAAGTGGAAATAAATCAGCTTAAGTACGGGATATACTTCAGTTAACGGTATTTCGTAACTGTAAATCTTCAGCAGCGGTAACATAGTGCTTCGTGAATTGGTTCACTTGAATAGAGGCACTAAAAATAAAATAAACAAATAAATACGGGAAAAATGTTAATTTTTTATAATTTTTAAAATAATAATACAACTTACAACACCCGATACACTGCATACACCCAAGCTACAAATATATGGAACATCGTTCACCAGATTATTATTCTTTTTACCCTCATTGGACCGCTATCCTGCGCGCTATTACCATTCCGCACGCGCTATTCGATGATAAAGCGATCATGTGCACTATTCTATCCGAAAATACAGGGTTTTCCAATAATAGTCATATTATATAATTAAAAAAAAAAAACTGATTAATTGTTAAGGGAATTGAAATGTTTTTTTATTTAGTGTGAAGTACAATCGATACAATTAAGTTCTGAATATAATATCATTCAACTGGCCTCAACGACTTCTTTTGCAGGAACGAATTCGATGAACCCAATTTTCGAGCACTTTTTCCACTAAATCAAGTCGTATGTCATGAATAGCACGTTTAATATTGAATTCTAAAGATTGAAGAGAGTCTGGTTTATTGCTAAAGACAAATGACTTCAAACAACCCCGCAAGAAATAGTCTAATGGTGTTAAATCGCAATTTCTTGGAGGCCATTCAATGCCATAATTTCTTGAAATTATCGAATCTCCAAATTTTGTCGAAACAATTCGGTTTTTGCACGTGTTGTGTGGCACGTAGCCTCGTCTTGTTGTCAAGATCAACTTTTTCCAATTGCGGCCATAAACAGTTGGTTATCATCGACCCATACCGCTCTTCATTGGCAGTAACGGTGTGACCAGCTTCCTTTCGAAAGAAGTACGGACCGATGGTCCGCAATTTGAAAACGATTATTTTTATAATAAAATTCAATAATTTGAAAACGTTGTTTTTGCGTATATCTTTCCATTATGGAATTGTAAACATTACTAAATACAATGAAAACAAGTAAGGAAGGGCTAAGCTCGGATGTAACCGAACATTTTATACTCTCGTAAAGTCAAATGGTATACTCGTTTTAGATTTCTTTGTGGATCTTGCCGCCTTGTTCTATGTTGACCGATATTTTTGGTAAAAAGTCAACTATAGGCACTGGGGTCTATATATTCAGTACCTAGGTTTCTAGTTTTGGTTCAATTTAAATAATTTCTGGTCACAAGGTGGCATACTTTAAACGTATTATTCACGCAAAGTTTTACGCCGATATAATCATTGTTGCTTGATTTGCATACTGGAAAGTGAAAAAAACAGATGGAATTTAAATGATGTTATATGGGAAATAGGCGTGGTTGTAATCAGAGATAAAATTTAATGTCTCTGGTTTGTTTAGTGCTTGATTTATCGCGCTTTTAGTAGTTTTTAACAGTACCGTTATATAGGGAGTGGGCGGGGTTGCCTGATTTCACCCATTTTCACACCGTCGATAGAGATGCTAACACATTTGTTTCCAGTGAATTTTGTTATTATAGCTTCAGTGGTATAGGAGATATGCACATTGAACTTATTGGGTGTATTCATTAATTCATGCTATTTTCTAAGAGAGGGCTCTACTAGTATTAGTTCGTGTCGTGTTCATCTGTGGCTATATTCATTTCAAAGGTACTGTCATTTCGCGTCATTTTCAGATAAAGTGTTTTTGCGGGGAGTTTTTCTTCATTACTTTAACATGAAGAAAAGTGCTACCGAAAGCCATCGTATTTTACTGGACGTTTATGGTGACCATGCTTTAGCCGAACGAACGTGCCAAAAGTGGTTTGCACGGTTTAAAAGTGGCAAATTCGACTTAGACGACGGAGAACGACCCGGACAGCCAAAAAAATTTCAAGACGAAGAATTGCAGACATTGCTCGACGCAGATCCATGCCAGACTCAAGAAGAATTTGCAAAGGTATTAGGGGTTGATCAACCGTTTCCAGATTAAAATCATTAGGACTTATCTAGAAGCTTGCAAATTGGGTGCCTTATGAATTAAAGCCAAGAGACGTCGAACGTCGATTCTGCATGTCAGAAATGTTGCTTTAACGCCACAAAAAGAAGTCATTTTTGCATCGGATGGTCACTGGTGATGAAAAATGGATTCATTATGATAACCCAAAGTGCAAGAGATCGTATGTGAAGCCCGGCCAACCATCGACATCCACGGCAAAGCCGAATATCCATGGTGCCAAGGTTATGCTATGCATTTGGTGGGACCACAAGGGTGTGCTCTATTATGAGCTATTGAAATCGGGTCAGACGATCAATGGGGACCTCTACCGAAAACAATTGATTCGTTTGAAAAAGGCCATCGCGGAAAAACGATCAGAATATGCGACCAGACACGAATCAATAATTTTTCATCATTACAACGCTCGGCTCCATGTTGCATGGCCAGTTTTAAACTATTTGGAAAACTGTGGTTGGGACATAGCACCGATTACCACTTGTTCAGATCAATTCAGAATGCCCTTACCGAAGTACGCTTCACTTCAAAACAGGGTATCAGAAATTGGCTCGATTCTTTCTTGACCTCCAAGCCGGAGAAGTTCTTTCTTTAGGATCCCATCCCTATCCACAAACTGCCAGAAAGATGGGCAAAAATCGTAGCTTCCGATGGGCAATAATTTAAACATTAAATGTATAACAATTTTTTCACAATAAAGTCTTAATTTTCGAAAAAAATCGCACGAATTAATGCATACACCCAAGGCACACTTTAAAAAAAACTTAAACTGCAGATGCCCCTCCCTAATGTGACCCTGTATACCAAATAAGAGTCTTGTATCTTGTTGTGGAGCTTAGTTATGGCAATTTATTTGTTTTTGATTAATGGCGTTTTGTAGGCGTGGCAGTGGTCCGATTACGCCCATCTGCAATACCAACGGTATCTTATCTCAATTTCTACTCAAGTTACAGCTTGCACAGACGGACGGACGGGCAGACAGTCATCCATAACCCTATATCTAACTCGATTTGTTTAAGATGATACAATCAACCGTTAGGTGAACAAAACTATTATACAATACTCTGTAGGAACAAGTTGCGAGAGTATAAAAGTTATAAACCATGACATATTAAAAGTGTCCAAAACGACACTTAAAAATGATATCATCCCTATTGGAAAACCCGATACTACGTTAATTTCATTCACACTGCTCCGCAGCAATTCCTTAGACCAGGCACCGAGCCACGCGTGTCCAACTATAACGATGATTGGAACGACGCTATTCGTCACATCATTTCGCTAAAAACAAAAAAAAGTTCAATCGCTCAAAAAGTAAAGTTTTAAAATTATTGTGTTAACTACAATATTAATAAGTATTATGCGATAATATACTTGAAAACTACACTGGCTTCTGTTTTAGTGTATACAATGACTTAGTGAGCGGAATATTGAAATTTTAAATATAGTGATGCGCTCCCGAATAAAATTTGATACAATTTTACTCACTATTCCATACAATAAAATGGTATTTATGAATACAAGGTGCGTTTTTATAATTTTTAATTATAAACATTTTCTAATTTAATTTAATTAAACTCTATTCGTTGAATGTTAATATTGGTTCAGTTCAATTAATAATTTGGCCACATTTAAATCGAGAACTGTAGCATTCAGAACGTAATCATATATTCTAACAGTATAATTAAAATTCGTGGCAGCAGGACCATTTTTCCAATAAATTTTTCAGTCGAAATGGTTGCTTCAATAACATTTCCTGGGATCTTTTTGATTACTTAACGTGTACCGTTACATAATTGGGGTTGATTCATATCACGCTGAAGAAGCGAAGATTATGTGATGGCAGTCCGGGTATATCCAGATTGATTTAAAACAAATCAATTTTGGGGTTTTAAATATGTTATCTAAAAAAATAAATCAAATTTTAAGAGTCCAAGCCTGAATCTGAATGTCAAAAGAAACTGCTTTGCTCGAGTTATTGGCCGAACTTTTGAGTAACCTTGTTATTACGTAATCCGACGATATTAACAGTAAGGGCACCACCTCCACTGTACAAGTATTAGATCGCGAATTTTTGCGAGTACATATGATTCAAGCGAAAATTTCTCAAATTTTTGTTTCAGGCTTCTAAAGCTTCTTCCGACATCACTATGATTGGAAGTGGTACATTTTCGACGGTATTCGCTCCGTGAATCAATATGGCAATCAATGGCACCTATTTCATTCATTATTTTAGACGTAGCCTAACAAATGCCGCATGTTTGTGAAGATGATTTTCATTTACGCTGAACACTTACTCGTAATTTCAAAACTCTGCGCCTCTATCTAGGCTCTTAAAAAATCAGTAGACTCTTTTGCAAACATTATTTTAAGGGGGCTACAATTGATGATGAGTGAGGATTTTACCTCACCAATTTTCACTTTTGAAGGCACAATACAAATAAAAAACACAGGTTCATCTGGCATTTTAGGTTGTGGATCGATAAAACTTTGGCGATATGTCGCGTGTCCAGAACTTCCCTCGCAACCCCATTTAGACAAGAGCGTCAAATTTTCATATTTGTCATCATCCAATGAGACTTGGCTAAACGCATTTGGATGGGCCTTAACAATTCGAGTTATTGTATGGTCAAGCATATCTTACAAAAGAACTTTTACACAACATTCGTTTGTTCTAATTGGGTCCGGATAACACATCCCCTTTGCAGATAGTAAAACATCATATTAGCATTTCGCGTCTTGACACCAGCTTGCAAAAGTTTACAAGAATTCTCTCACAGTTCCATGATATGAAAGAAGATGAACTGAACGCCGCTGCAAAAAAGTATTGTACTCCGTTAGTGTATCTGATAAGTTGTAAAATTAAGCTTTTCCCTCCGATACGTTTACGATGCAAATTTTGAAACCTGTCTTACTGCATGCAACTTTTTGAATGCCATCAATGCACGAAAATTAGGAAGACTTTTCCCAAATATTTGCATCGCTTTAAGAATATTTTGCACTTTTCCTGTTTCTGTTTCAAGTGGTGAACGTTCGTTTACACTTTAGCAAGGATAAAAAAATTTCATTGATCATGCTCGTCACAGTGCAGGATTTCATTATCGATGCACTCGCTGCCGCCAAAGCTGGAAAAGTTGACTTCTAAGTTACAAATAGTTGAACATTGGAGGATTTTATATTGCATGTTTAAAATCTTAATCATGATAGTCAACAGATTTCAAAATATATCAATAAATGTATCGATATATAAATGTTTGAAGGATATGTTTCTGTCTTATTATTAACTGTCAAGTCTTGCTATCATGCTTTGCGTCTGTGGCTGTTTGAGTTATTATATGATATTAATCAGAGAGATACAGTTGCAACGAGCGCAATATATTTTTTTTTGCCTTATTCCCACATAAAATGTTTATAATAAAACGGTTTGTATGTATACGTAGTTTTATTGTAAAGGGCATTTTATCTATGTATTATGAGCAAAAAATCTACAACTTATTATATATATATGCAATAACATAATAAATCTGGAATTATTTTATAGCACAGGGGTAATTGGTTTAACATCCCGTATGTATTCTTCAAAATTTTTATCTTCTTGAACCGAAGGATCCATTTCATTAATTATTTGCGGAAGCATTGGATTATCCAACATTGACGTATGGTTTCCTTCAATCACTTTTAAAACCACTTTTCCTGTAGTAATTTTTGACAAACAATAATCCTCTTCTATGTCTTGTAAAGATACCTCTGCCGGCCGTATTAAAACTATGGGTGTTGTAAGTATATCACTAGTATCTAAGTCATAGTTTGCCGCCATTCGTATACGTCGAAACATTGCATGCACCATACTTTTGGCGTATTCTTCGCTATATAAATTTTGCTTGTTTACATATTCCATAAATTTAAGCATCTTATTTGTTAGTTCTTCCCGTTTACTAAATTCTAAAGCCACTAATTCTTGGATTTCTTCCGGAAATATTTGTTTCACAATACTTGAAAGGAGTAAATTATATAAATCATTATCACTGAAATCGTCCCCAAGATGTGCTAGGGTTAATTTTTTTAGGAAATGTGGCGATCCGTCGATGAGTAAAAGTTGTCCTCGATAACCAGCCTTTTCTAGCATTTCAGCTAATTTTAGTGCAATAAATGAACCATATGAATATCCGATGATATAAAACGGTTCTGTAGATTTTAGTTCTGCTTTCACGTCCTGTAAATAATAAAATATAGCAATTTTATTAATAACACTTATCACATGATTAATAAATATTTGCATACTTCAAAACATGCTTCGGCAACTTCCTTAACTGTTGTACATTCACTAAATTTGTGGAGTTGTAAAACATTCGTATTATTCTTTATATATGAGCCCATATTATACCAAGCTTGACCTGCTGTACCCTCTAAACCCGGTATTATAATGTTTGGCGGCATAGACTGTTTAGTAGCATCTGCCGCTGTCTTAAGGGGTATCATAACTTCATTACAACGTGTTTCGTCGCCCAAATTTCTTAATAAGATTTCCATTCCTAAAAGATTACTATCTGAAGCAAATATCATTTTAACAGCGTTCGTACTCTCTGTGTCGCGGGCATCTGCATATTCTTGCAGTTTTTGGAATGTAAGGGAACGTAAATCTTGTGGTGTTAATATGAGATCGAAATCTCTCTCCAAAGTTTGTTTTATTTCGACAGCCATGAGGGAATCCATTCCCATTTCCGAAAGTGTGGTTCCCAATGAAATAGATTTCAAATCTCGTATGCCCATAATATTCATGATTGTATCAAGAATGCTTTCATTACCTAAGCGTCCGGAGCGTTTTTCAGCTACTACCATACTAGAAACTATTGGCTCTGAGGTAGATAACAATGTATCCAACTCATACAAACAAGATGAAATTCGTTGCTGTAGTGTTCCACCAATTTCCATATCGATTTTATCTTCAGCCATATCTGCCACTAAACCAACTTCACCAACCGCACCCCATTGTATTGCTTTTCCGGGATAACCATCTTTAACACGTTTTTCAACTATACGTTCCATAATAGAATTAGCCATGCCATAATTAGATTGTCCAGCGTTGCCACGACCACATGAAACACTTGAAAATACAACGAAATATTCCAGATTCGGACAATGTAATCTAGATAGTTGGTCCAAATTTTTTGTTGCAATTGCTTTTGGAGCAAAGCTTTCTAAAAACTTTTCCTTGGCTTGATTTGTAAATATTCCGTCTCTCAAAACTACAGCTAAATTGAAAATTCCACCAACAGGTCCTACATTTTCAGCAAGGCTAAGGAGAGCTATACAGCCCTCAATCGTGCTAATATCAAAAGTACTAACAATAACTTTACAACCGTAACTCTCCCATAATCTGAAAAAAGAAAATATTAGAATTTTAAATGACAGTACAGAAATATTAATTCCACTGGCAACATACGCTATTCTGTAAGCTTGATAGTCTTTCGATATGCCACGACTCGAGCTCATAATCAATTTACGTGCCCCTCGTATTACCATCCAATCAGCCAACTCCAAGCCAAAACCACCTAAACCACCCGGTATTATATAGCTAACATCCGGTTTAAAGTAAATCTGATTTAAGACTTTGACTGGCAACGTTAGTTTCGATTCGGAACCCTCCCGGACTTGAATTAAAACCTTTCCAATATGTTTTCCTCCTATGAGATGCCTAAACGCTTGTTCAATTTCATGTGCAGGGAAAATCGTACATGGAAGGGGTTGAATAATTCCTTTTTCAATATCGACATCCACCATATGTTTCAAATACTGCAAATAATACATACATATGTACATGTTTGAAGACTAAAGTATTATAATGAATGTAAACTCACTTTAATATCCTCATCTGAAGCAAATTCTAATCTGTCGGCCAGAACAGCATGGAACGTTATCTCTTTTAGGAAGCAGCTCATCCCAAGTTTGGTGTCATTTGACATATCGAATTTTCCAATTTCTAAGAAATGTCCACCGTATCCCAAGCAGCGCACTGATGCCAATAATTTATCTTCAGCCAGAGAGTTTAGTACAAAATCAACTCCCTTGCCATTGGTTTCATGCTGTATCATAGTTTCAAAGGATGTATCTCGAGAATTGCCAATGTGACTTTCTAAATATTTGTTAACAATTTTCAGTTTTTTTTATTGGTATCGTTAAACAATTACCTTTTAATTCGGGGAATGTTTTTAATAAGAATTGCTTCTTTAGTTCAGAACTGCAAGTTGTAAATACTTCAAGCTTGTATGCCAAGGCGACCCGTATTGCTGCAAGGCCTATTCCGCCAGTTCCAGCATGAATAAGTATACTCGTTCCTTTTCGTATATCGGTGGTCATGAAAAACGCGTAGTAAACCGTAATGTAGACAACTGGCACGGTAGCAGCTTCTTGGAGAGTCCAGTTATCTGGAACATCCCATATAAATTTGGATGGCCTTTCGTTATACGATGCAACACCAGCTTTTGCTACCATACTCATGACACGTCTACCGGTCTTTGCATTTATTCCAGAGAATTCCAAGCCTAATACGCATAACTGAGCAAGACGACTACTACCGTATAATTCAACAGCCAATCGTCCAGTTGCTAGCATAACGTCTCTGAAGTTAAGCGCTGAGTACACAATTCGAACAGAGCATTTATCAATGTCCAAAGGCCCCTCCAACCAGCGTAAAGTGGATAAATCACCCCGTTGCATTACGTTTCCGTAAATATGATCAGATCTTGGCTTTGGAATCTCATCACATAGCAACTGTAAATGTCTATAAGATCCCCATTGACCCTAATTTAAATAAATATTTATGATATACATACATATATGATTTTTTGTGAAAAAATAAATACCTGATAATATACATTAATAGCAAGTCCTAAGGCGTATTGGCTGTTATAAAACGTATTTGCCAAATCAAAGGCTGGTGCATTATCATCGTCAATATAAAAGCACGAAATTAGATTACCATCTGGCTCCTTACGTAAACAGTTCACAAGTCCAATAATACCATTTGAATTTTCGTTGAGACAATAAAGAACAACTGGTGTTTTGTTAGAAAGGCATGTTTGAATTTGGGTAATCCATTCAAATTCATTATCTTCTTCCGAAATTTTCACAACTAACGGCTCTAATGTCAGTTTTGTTCCAACCTTTTGCAATAATAACACTTGCTCATCACTACTCAAACGGATATTTACTAATAAATTGAAATTTTCAAAAGTTGTTGAATTATGAGTATGCCTGAATTTTTTTTCTCTCGTAACTAAAAAACCTTTTTCAACTAAACTTTTATATGCTGATGTTACTATTGTATCGTTTTCCTCATGGCTCAGATCATTGGCAATTATAAAATGGCAATTGGTTTGATTGACAAATTTCGCGTTTTCTATATGAACACCGGCTATATCATCAACTTGTTGATCTGTGAAAAGCAGAAAATCACCTGTTACCAATGGCAAATCTTCAATTGCTTCTACAAATTTCGATAACACCGGCTCTTTATTCTTCGCGCCTACTTCCACAATTTTTAGTTTTAATAGTGGGGTATTTTCAAGGGCTAACTGGACGCACATACGAATTGCTTCTGTTATATCCAGAGTTGGTGTTGGAAAATGTGATACAAATTGATATTTCTCGAGCACAGGTATTCCGGGAGCTTTACGTCTTTGAACTGGGCTAGCGTGTAGTCCAATTAGTTCAATACCACCGGCAACAATCCGATCATATTTAGGCTCAACGTAAACATCAAAAACTCTCTCTTCCGGATCCATTTTAGTCAAGAGGTGAAAATGATGAGGTCCATTAATCCTTAATTTCCGTATTTTAGTTGGTATAAGCAAGGTACGTGAATCAGTTCCTAAAATTTCAATTTGTAACATGGCATCCATAAATGTTACCCAATTATATTTCCATTCTACTTTTCCATATAAACCATCTCCACGCGCTTGTGTCACTGCGCGGAAAGCACCATTGTAATGATATCCTCGCAGCTTAAGCTCTTTGTAAAAGTCTTTTTTAGATAACATTGGGAATTCCGAATCCTTATAGGGCTCGTAAATATTTGGTATTGCTGGATTTTCAATTTCACGTATTCGCCCTGTCACTACCAAGTTTCCAGACTCGGTAATCTATAAAACATAACAAATAAGCAAGTGCTAAGTTCAGGTGTAACCGAACATTTTATACTCTCGCAAGGATCAAAGTTATATCAAAAAATGTTACGTAAGAAGTCAACATTCATCATTCGAAAAAATGGATTACCTAAAGTCATATATATGGTATATTTTAACTTATATTATTATAGGCTTTAGACTCACTTAGTTTCACTACTAGATTCTGCTTCGTGTTCGAAATATTGATATTAAAACCAAGCTAATATTTTCAAACGGAATATATGTAAACTCAACCAAGGATACAAAATCTAATATTTTGTTAAAATATTTTACTTAAATATGACACATTTTGGCCAACATAAATGACTTAAAGTCAGATGGAAAGTTTAAATGGATACATATACGATATAAATTAAACGCAAAGTTTTAAATTCGAATATTAGATATATGGGGTTTAAGGTAATATTGACCCGATTTTATCCATTTTAGAAATATTTCTTTAAGATATTTCACCGTTGTATACGATATTAGGTCTATTGGAATATCGAAAATGTTTATATTATCCACTTTTGAGTCGATCTATTTGAATTTCAAAAGCATATCTCTGAGTTTTACCATATTCGGTATCCAGAGACTTTAAAAGCTTTTTTAGTAGTTTTAAACATAACCGTTATGTGTGTAGTGGGCGAGGTTAATATCAAATTTGATCAATTTTATTTTCAATTGCGGGGTGCTATTAAAACTTGTCCCCAGATATAGCAGTATTATTTTGTGAAGTATATACATAAAACTTATTATAAGGTGAGGACAAATTTAAAAAAATTTTAAATTACAAATGCCCCTTTCTACTGTGATTCCAATACCAAATTATAGCAAGTTATAAGTTTTATTTTAACGGCATTTTATCGTCGTAGCGATTCCGTCCATCTGCAATTTGTACCTTCCTTGGGTGCAAAGCTATACATGTACCACGTTTCATCGAGATCTCTCGATTTTTACTCAAGTTATCGCTTAAACGGACAGACGGACAGACATTCACATGAAATTAAACTCGTCTTGTCATCCTAGTCTACTTTGATTAGTTTTAGATGTTACAAACAAAAAAACTATTACATCCTCTTTTGCAATCTGTTGCGAGAGTATAACAAATATCATTCAACTAACTGGTAACATTAAAATTTATACCTCGAATTGCCCTGTTCCGTAGTGAATCATGACATTTAGTTCTACACTTCCATTCAAAGTCATATTTGTCGCACGTATGAATCGTACATCCTCGAACTCTATCGGAACATCCATGTAGCTTGGACCATGATACATCAAAGAAAATGTCTCCCAAACATATTGAAGGTAACATGTAGCCGGAATTAGTATTTTGCCATCAATAACATGACCGCTCATAAATTCCTCATTATCGCTACTTAAGTTTATTTTAAATAAGCGTTCTCCACTCGATTTAGTTTTCATGTTCTCATATTTCGTTACAAACCAGTCTTCACTATGATCCCAGCGAATTAATGAGCTGATTCCAGGAGTACCCTTCGATACTGGGAATTCAATTTTCGAATATAAATTTTCTACGGGGAACGTAACTCCACTGCTAAACAATCTAAAACCAAATATTTAGTAAAATATTATTTATAAAATATATTATATTATATTATAATAAATAAACTTTTTCGACTTGAGCATACAAACTAAACTTTACTATGGTTCCTTCAACAAATATTCTTGGTTGAAATTTTTATGATTACAATTCTTTATACAGCCTGAGATTATAAAAATGTTAAGTCAATATAAGTGGTTTTCTCAAATTTCCAAATATGTGCATGTATAACATTATTTCACTTTGACGTTCTGATAAGTACTTACTTTCCTAAAGCCGTAAGAAAAAACAAAGTATTGTTGTTATTGTGGCGTTGTGTAAGCGGAATATGAATACCATTGGCCATCGATCGTTTAAGTATTGCTTGTAGTAATCCGTGGGGCGCAATTTCAATAGTTATTGAATTTTGGGGCAGCATTTCAAATGTTTCTTCAAATAATACGCTATTCAGAAGATTGTTGGCGTGATACTCTGCGGAGCATAGATTACGTCCAAATTGCTCCCAATCTTCTTTAGGTACACTTGTACTCAACCATTTGGAACTTCTACGTTTTGGATCTGGTATGATTTGTTGCAAATATTTTAAAAAGTCAGGACCCATATGAGCTATGTAACGGGAATGATATGCAATATTTGAGCAAGGTACCTCTTTCGCAAAAATATTTTTAACTTTTAACTCCTCCACAAATTTTTCTATATCTTCAGCTGGCCCGGAAATAGTACAAGATTCTGCACTGTTCCGACAAGCTACTTCAATGCCATCAGGAAGTATATTGATAATCTTCTTATAACCCATTCCTACAGCTGCCATTGATCCTTTTATTTTCTCAATTTCCAAACTGACTTTTCCACGATAATAAGCAGACAGAATCATTTGTTCCGCAGTAAAGCATCCATCGGCATAGCCGCAGCCCAACTCCCCTACTGAATGACCTATAATATAGTTGGGCTCTATGTTTAATGAGCGCAAGAGGTCTACCAACCCGATTTGAATTGCAGCTATTCCTACGAAGGAGTGCATTATATTTTCGAATGTACTGGGATCCGTAGATGTGAGTATGTTCATTAAGTCAAGTCCCTTAGATTGAAGAGTCTTGTGACTCTGCTCAATGGAATGCAAAAAAGTAGGAATCTGGAGCAATGAAGCTCCCATTTCGGTCCATTGTGAACCCATTCCGCTAAATACCCAAACTATAGGACGTTTTATACCGGTGAAATGGTGTACATCCCTACCGTGTGTTTTCACTTGGCCGGTTCCATTTTTCGCGAACACCGCATATCCCCGAAACACCATGCCAGAAACTTCCTCCTTCTGAATATTATGTAATAAAGCAAAAAATTCGGCATCCAATGGTTGGTTTTCTATAGCGTTGAATATATAATTGACCGAATCCTCAGTCCTTCCGGCCCAAGTTAATAACCTTGGTATATCATCGTTTGGAACCCCGCAATTTATTTTCTCTTTGTCAAAACCTTTCAGAAGTGCGTGGGCATTTGCACCACCAAAACCAAAAGAATTTACTCCTATATATGGTTTCTCTAGTTCAACGACATCTTTTACCACAACCAGACGGCCTTCCGATAAAGCAGTAATTTCTGGTTTTACTTCAGTGAAGTTAAGGTTTGGAGCAATTTTCCCATTTTGAAATGCTAAACATGCCTTCACCAGTGAGCAAATACCAGAAGCCGCCTCCGAATGGCCTATATTTGATTTTACCGAACCAACTAACAGAGGCTTTTTACGCTGACTACATAATATGCTGTCAATTGCTCGGCATTCTTCGGGGTCTCCGACCACCGTTCCAGTACTGTGGGCTTCTAAGTAACCCAAATCGTCAGGTTTAATGTCAATTTCATTATAAAATTCAGCAATCAGTTGCTCCTGAAGTTTTCCAGAGGGGAAGGTAATTCCTTCTGGCTTATACCCATCGCAATTGGTTTTCGAGTAAATAACGCTCGAATATATGCGTTTAGCATCACGTTTACGTTGCAGGAATAGACAATTTATAGCCTCAGATCTCGTATATCCACATGCATTTTTATCAAAAGGTCGGCAATAGCCATTAGGAGCAAGTACACCAAGTCTGGAAAGAGAAATTACCGCAATAATAATAAGTAATAATAAGTAGAGACATAAGTTACGATGCTAACGTACCTGGCAAACTGGAGTGTTACGAAAGGGTGTAATATTAAATTCGATCCACCAATAATAGCTGCGTCTATTTCTCCATTACGCAAAGCAGAGAAAGCATTGTCTAGGGCATACATTGAGCTAGAACAGGCAGTATCCAATAAAAAAGATGGACCTTCTAAGCCTAAGCTATACGAAATTCTATTTGCCATCATAGCTCGACTGCATCCAGTTATACCAAAACCACCTGAAGACACTTTTTCATAAAACCACGTCTTCTCCGATTCAGATATACACGAACCAATGTAAACACCGGTTTTTGTGCCACGTAGACTTTTCGGATTTATACCTGCATCTATTACAGCCTCATATGCAGTCTCAATTAAAATACGTGTTTGAGGATCCATCGTATGAGCTTGTTTAAAATGAACGCCAAAAAATGTTGCATCAAATTTTTCCAAATTGTAAATTTTTCCTGATCGCTTTGGGATCTCGGGGTTAAAATGTCGCCAACGCCGCTCATCATCATCCACCATATCAATCTGAAAAAAAATGCCTATATTATAAATTATTACATTCACTAAATATTGCAATATTGAATGGAACCTTTTCCTTTTTTATAGTAATTTTATAATGGCAAAATGGGAATACTTTTCAACACCGTTTCAAGATGTCGGGTATAAAGTGGGTATAGGCGGAAAACTTATACTTGTAGTTTCGAGATATTTGCGTTTAACTATTTAAAGTACGTATTTTTTCGGTTTCTGATGGATTTTACACTTATGTTTGTACACATTTATTTCACAATATATAGTACAAATTTAGCTTATATTCAATATTGAACTATTTATTCACACAATAACAAAACGGTTGCATACTGACAAATAGCCAGTTTTGCCTTATCGACATATTTTGTTAATGAACTGAAAGAAATACAGAAAACAGATTATACCAAAATGGCAGGAAATAAATAAGACATTATTAGTTTTTCGCTTAGAATTCCGTACTGCGTTAGCGGCCTTCGTCCGTGCTTTATAAAATAAGTCTTGGACGGTCCGACACTAGGGTTTCTCAAGAGAAGGGAAATACTGAAAGATATTTTATTGTACAACACCGATTATGGTTCCTGTGTTTGGGGTATAATCTTTATTTTTGTTCGTTTGCAAAATATAATTATGTATATATTGTAATATATAAAAATATAATAAGTGTTATCATACTACTGGTTATTTGTCAGTGAACAATAAGTTAAATATTGAATTAATGCTATTTTTGCACTATATAATGTAAAATAAATGTGTACAAACGAGTTAGTGAAGTGTTAATGGATATAAAACTGAAAAATATAAATGTAAAATTAATTTTAAATCGAAAAAATATGTAGTCGAAATTTTCAACTTTAAAGGCAAATATCTCAAAAACCATAAGTTTCCCGCGGATATATTCTTGATTTAGAGAACATCCTCTATCCACCCATACCCATTTTATCCTCAAAATCCTGGGATGGTATTCTTAAGCCGACCCGGCAAAATTTCGACTATTTAATGACGGAGTTAACTTTTTAATTTCCATTTTCTAGAATTATCGATTTGTGATAAAATACTTGCAATATCAAGAAAATAAAATTATTCAGGAGTTACACTGAATCTCTGAACTCTGAATTTATGTTTGAACTCATGTATTTCTGATATGTAAGTAGCTGTTTTGAATTTTCAAGCATTACGTTTTAGCGGTTGTAGATTCAGATATTTTTTTTTGTATTATTGGTTTAAAAATGACTTATACGTACATACATATGTATATTCACATCAAACTATAATTTTATAACAAATTTTAATTAATGTGGTATTTACAACTTCACATATGGAATTAATTTTTTACCCATATAATCACTTTAATATTGACATTTTAATTTGTTATGCACCTTATTGTAGAGATTTTGCTCATACTCCGCAATATTATGAGAGTTTGGAAATTTCCCGGCCATTCCGGAGATAACAATTTCATCGCCCTCAGATTCGGGAAATGATCTTGAATATTTTTTATGTTTTTTTGAAGTTGTTTCCTTATTTAAGGAAAGGTCTAACTGCTGGGTTTCATTATTAGTCGACATGATTCTGTTAAAAAATTAAACACTGGATTTAGCACAGGATTTGAAAATTGTCCTGGTTAAACACACGGAACTTAACGTTAACACAAAACCACCGGGCATATACGCACGAATTGCCAAACGAATAGCAATTGTTAAAGGCTTCAAAACATGAAGCTACTTTTATAATATTACTTTGTGCTCACAATGCTAGGTTATATGAGGCAGGGGCAGACCAGTGCAGAATATAATTGCTTCGTGAGGGTTTGTTCTATCAACAGAATGGGTTTAACATAGCAACATTTAAATTAAAATCTATTTATTAGCACATAAATTACTATAAGCATGTGCATACGAGCGAACCTGTGCACATTGATATGCATATGAAAATAATGTTCGTTGACCCAGAGTAAATCGAAAGTGTTATTCGATTTTGTTTTGTACTTTTCGCGTTACAAAAAAAAAAAGGAAATGATTTGAACCCTTAAGAAGGCAATGAGTAAGTTTTATTCAGTACGTTGATGTATATGTATTTAAAAAATCAGTATGAAAAACTTTTTTTAAAAATATTCAATGGCGTATTACATATACATTGTTCATAGAATGTGTTGCTCCTTTCAGGGATATGACTACAATTTCTGGGAGAAAAAATAGAAACATTTAGAAACGCATAAGACTAAGGGGAACTTTTGTGAAAAGATTAGTTCAATCTTACGATTAATTCACATTCAAATCTACGAAACTAGCCCTACCAATTTCCAATTGCGATTCATAAACGTTATTTTACAAAACATAATTATTACCAGACAGATTATGAAGTAATTTATGGAAAAATATAAATTTTTTCTTAAAAGAAAATTTTAAAATAAATTAATAATAAATTGCATATTTCACCTAAATGATGAAACGAATGATGAAGTAAATTTCACTTATTTTGTTTCTATTTTCATTAAATTATTACATTAATCAGAATTGTATTTAAAACACTGTACATATATTTTTTTTAACGAGTAAATTGCTATAAAGAATTAACGATTTGAGATAGCATTTCAAAGTTTTGCTGAAGCTTTTCGTGAGATGTTCTGAGAGTTCAAAAATTAACACGTAATTAAGCCCATGTGGCATAATTTAATATCCATAATTATATATCTTTGTCATTATTATAACATAATTTATTACACAGGTGCACCCGATATCTCTTAAAAGACATTTTAAACCAAATGGTTCAAAGCGATCATACCCCTAATTTAAAAATATATGAATACTTTAAAAAAGAAAGTGCAATGATTTCAGCAAAAGAAACATTTAATATATTCAGTGTACTGTATTTCATTTAAGAGGAATTATGTGGACATTAACCTTAAATAGTCGTTGTTTAGTATTTAATTTTTAAACATACTTGTAGTTTGAAATACAGACTTGGGTTTTGAGACAATTATCTTAGATATTGAATGACAGAATTTCGCCAAACTTACAAAGTTGAGAAAATTCAGGATATTCACCAAAACTTTTAAGTTGTTTCAAAACGGAATCGTAATTAGTAATTGGCAGGAAAGTGCAAAAAACTCATGACACTAAGTATATACAAACATAAGTTGATGTTTATATTAGGTCAAGTAAAAAGTTTAAAAGGTTTTTATTTAAGAGATGGCGTTATTGTCCATAGTACTAGTGTTACGTGTCGCATCATGTCATACTATACGGCGCTGAGAACGTGTTTATTCGCGCTAAAAGTTTGTCCTTGACAGTTTTTCGATTGATTGACTCAGTACGTTGTGAGCGCTCGTCAAAGATGGACACCAGCAAAGAGAAAATTCGCTATATTTTACAATTTTTCTTCGATCAAGGCGAAAAAGCAGTCAAAGCGACTGAAAAAATTAATTTAGTTTATGAGCTCGATACTGTAAACGAACGTGTAGTACAAAAGTGATTTGCTAGGTTCCGTTCCGGTAATTTCGATGTCGAAGATGCACCACGCGTCGGGAGGCCTGTCGTCGAAAATTGCTATAAAATCATGGAAATAGTGGAAACAGACCGTAACGTGAGCACTTATTTAATTGCTAAGGAGATAAAGATAAGCCAGAAAACCGTTTGGAACCATTTGCATAACCTTGGATTCAAAAAGAAGTTCGATGTTTGGGTGCCACACGAACTAACGCAAAAAACATGATGGACCGAATTTCCATCTGCGAATCACAACAAAATCGACCCGTTTCTGAAGTGGATTGTGACTGGCGATGAAAAATGGGTCACTTACGGCAATATCGAGCGCAACGGTCGTAGTCAAAGCTCGGGGAAGCGGCCCAGATGGTGGCCAAGACCTGATTGACGGCCAGGAAGGTTTTGCTGTGTGTTTGGTGGGATGGGCAAAGAATCATCTACTGCGAGCTGCTCCCCTAGAAGAGGCCATCTTTGATCAACAGAGGCCGAATTGTGTTCCATCAGGACAACGCCAGGCCACACACGTCTTTGGTGACTCGCCAGAAGCTCCTGGAGCTCGGATGGGAGGTTTTAATGCACCAACCTTATAGTCCGGACCTGGCACCAAGTGATTACCATCTTTTCCTGTCCATGGCGAACGCGCTTAATGGTGAGAAGTTGGCCTCAAGAGAGGCCTGTGAAAATTGGCTCTCCGAGTTTTTTGACAATAGGGACGCAGTCTTCTACGAGAGGTTTATAGTGAAGTGGGCATTTCGTTGGCAACAAATTTACGAACAAAGCGGCGCATATTTGACTTAAAAATGTACACAAAGTTATCATCTTTTGAAAAATCAATAAAAAACCGAACGAACTTTTTACTTTACCTAATATAAGCAGAAAGGAACGCTAATGTAATGCAATTATAATTCCATTGTTTCAAAACATATTCGCTTAAAACAAATAATATAATGCACTGGAAAGAAGTATAGAGGAAGTTTTCTAATCATTTAGTTTATTAGTATAGTCCCTCTTACAACATTTTCTTCAGGGCTATAATTAACATAAGCAACAAAAGAAGCTATAAATAATAAACCCCATCCAAGTGTTATGTTAAAAAGAACTGAAAGTGCATTAACTTGTCATAGAAAAACATCAGAAGCATTAAATTGCAAAATACGGCACTGCTTTATGTGATACGCTGCTAACATTAGACAATTGGCGTAGTACAGCTCATTTTTCAATGAAATCTCATACCTCAGCAACCAGTCGACCTAATAAAATAAATACCTAGGCACAATATTTTTCTGACATGACCTAAATTGGAAAACAAATAACAAAAGATAGGAACAAGGAAAAACGTTAACTTCGGACAATAATCCATACCAGTTTATATGGCACTAAATCTTTTAATGAGCAGCTTCTAGAGGATATTTCGAAGACTAAGTAACTGGGTCGTGTATATACAGTGTATCGCAGCTACATCAATGTCCACAAATGCCGGTAATCGCAAAACTTAGAAAGTGCTATAACTAGGACATAAATTAAGATACAAAACTATAATTTAGTACAGGGCATCGAAGTAGGAACGGACGAAGTAGGAACGGAAAAATTTTGAAAAGTGAGCGTTATTTCAATATGTTTTAGGTTGATATCTCAGAAATCACTGAAGCTATATCAACCAAACCTTCGCATATAGTGTAGTAGTAGTAAGTAGTATGACTGAACCATCACATTTTACAGTAAAGATGACACGTAAGTGCTCTATGGAAATATTTTTAAGAGTATGACAATGAGCGTAAAATCTTTTAGATGAAATCCTACATCTCAGGAACTACTCGATCAGTGGAAAATGGGCGAAAACGGACAACAACCACGCCGACTGCCCATATAACAAACAAACTCTAGTTATTTATAGTATATTAAGTTCCAATTTATATATATCGAACTATCTTTAAAATTTTCTGATCCAACTTAAACGATATGATAGTTATTTCTAAATTTATAGTCTCCAAATTTTGTGTTTATTATATGACAAAGGGTTTTAATTATCTATAAGACTCTAACAAATAACGGTTTAAGCTAAATTATACACTGGATTAAGTAAAGAAAAGTTAAATGTCATATATACTACAAAAAATAGGGTCATAATAGAAAATGGCATTCGCAGTCATTGGTGGGCGAATGACAAATAAACATTAAAGTTGCTATTACATAGACATTCATGTCCCGAAAAACACAAATATTTCCTCAAAGCCCTCAAAACCCTCTTACTATTGTGATTTCGGACAGACCTTACCGGAAAAAACGTTTGGTCATATAAAGATCACCGTTTTGACTGAAAAGTTTAATAGAGAAATGGGCTTCTTGCAACATAACAATGACATCGTTTCGCCACATCTATAAGCAGGTATCAACTAAAAACATTGTCCATATGCTGTTTAGATTTTGAAAATTGATTATTTTCTTTCCCATAGGTCGTGCGTGTACTTAATTTTTAAGACCATTTTCGCAATGTAAACCCAAGCACAGAAATTGTCTATCATCTTTGGTTATATAATTGTAGCCATTTATATTTAAACCAACAAATATCTTCCAAAAATCATTTTCAAACCCTACAGTTTAAATATTCAGATGCTCTCCTCTGTACATGGTTTCACGGGACCAAATATACATATACCATGTAAAAAAACTTAAAATAAAAAATTGGAATAAAATTGTATTGTTACAAAACTTTAGTTTCTATATATTAATTGTAGTACCAATCAATAGAATTTTTAATATCTCGCCGAAATTTGCTAAGCGGTTTTCATTTGGATCTTGGTTTAGAAGATGATTTTCGGAATTGGTTGCCTTTTCCAAACCTTGTCGAAAAACTTGCGGTAAGAACCTGCAACCCCCTCTTCCGGCTTCGTTTTCATCATCACAACTGTTTCCAACTACAACTTCTTCAAAAAATTAGTCGATATTTTGACATCGTCAGCGCCATTAAACTGTGCATGTAGTACACATCCCTCAAATAGCATAGCTTTCTTCAGTGAATTTGCGGTTTTGAGTATGAATTAAAATTATGTTTAGCCCATTAAATAGATTTAAAGGGAAATAATATGAGCGGAATCAAAAAAAAAATGTGTCAAAAACAATGATGTTGAAGTTCAACGCAGGTGAAATTAATTGAAACAAAAGCTGATAAGTCGAAGAAATCATTACATGTTGACTGATATATACGGTATAAAGCCAACGGAATTTTGAAAATGTTTTATTAGGTATATGCAAGATAAGTGTAGTATTGGCCTGATTTTATCTAGTTGGTTTATCTAGTGGCAATACCATATATTTGGCTCTATTCCCGTTGTCGTTATCGTTTTAATTGTCGTTTCCAAGTTATAGTCGTTGTTATCGTCGCTTCGTTTCTAAATTCTAAAGTATGTCGTAACGCCTATGAAAAGTTATCGAAATTTTAAATTAAAACTAAGAAAGTATGATAACGCCCTAAAGCGACATTGTATCTGACGTTATTATTTGTTGTTTTGAAGAAAATATTTGAACCATTTTGTGAATTTAAGTATAAAATAAATAAGACAACAATAACAATAATATTATAATAATAACTCCTCCTGTGGCTGTAGCTTCTCATTTTTTCCCGTTTCCGTCACGCCATGGAGGTGCATTGAGTTTTTTCGAAATATCCCTCCAAAAAAATATGGAAATTCAATGGTTTTATCCCCTTTCTTAAATCTTTGCCATACGTAAGATTTTTTCCAGTAAATATTCATATTCAGATTTTTATATTTACTTCAATAATCGTGCTTGTTTCTATATCGCTCTCAATTACAATTGAGACCATCTCAAGGAACGACTGTTACTATGTCGTTATCATAGCCGTTTCAAAATGGAGAACACCAATTTATTTTCGATAAATGTCGATAATGCCACATAGCCGTTCTTATTTCGTTTTAAAACAAAAAACCTCACTACGCTCTCTACTCAATTACGCACTGTGACATAAAGATATCAGGATAATATTACGTACCGTATTTGGTTGAAATTGATGTATTAGTTTCTGAAATATGTGATTACAAATAAAGGAGGGCGGTGCCACCGCCCATCGTCCAATTTTGACACCGGCTTCTATGAAACCCTCTTGTACCCTCCCGGATGCAAAATTTAATGTCTCTGATGCTTTAGTAGCTATTGATTTATCGCACTTTTAGTAGTTTTAACCTAACCTAACCTTACCTGACATAAGAGGTGTCGAAAGGTTACAAGTTACTGCTTGCACGCCCATGTAACCTAAAATAAAAAAAAAAACAAATGCCAATTTTCCACGCCCATTTTTACTTTTTGAACTTACATGCAGACCTATTTTACTATCCTTGCAGTTAATTCACTTACATCTGAGCCACTGTACACAATGTGGTGGCTACAGAGTCTTAACAATAAAATATATAAAACAATATAGATCTTTCCATAAGGGTTTTTTTATTTTAATATACATACATAGATACCAAAATTATAATTTTTGATCTCTGTGAGAAAAGTTTACTTACTGTATTATGCATGTATACATATGGTTCTGGATGTATCTATTAATAATATATAAATATATGTGCAATATGCGCATACAAAATAATGCATAAGCTAAATAAAGTAAGCAGGTATGTGATTTTTCTATTTTTTTTAAATACAAACAATTAAGTCTTGGATTTTATCTTTATATCTCGTATTGAGTCAAAATTTTTTTTTCTACATTTGTCCTCCTTTACTATTTAAGCTGAATAAAACAAGCATATGCATATACATATATATATTTAATACATATGTTTGTATTGTTGTATATATGTGCTATAAATATAGGATATAAATAGTAAATATGTAAGTATTCATACATATGTACAATTTCGGACACTATTCTTGCTTAAGACTATTCTGTATCAATTTTAATTAGGCACTAAAAGCGATCAACGCTCGTATTATTTTCGATAAGTTATGTTACTTTCATTTCAGATACAGTTTACTAAAATGTAAAACATATTCAAATAATAATAATTTCTAACTATCGTAAGTGTTTTAATCACAGGACTTCCCTATCTTAATTTTTTCGTGGCTTTCCTTAATTTTTGTGTATAAGTATATGACAATGTTCTCCATTTAATTTTATAGCATACGCATGTTCAGTACGTAGTCGCCAGATTGGCGAAAATGGCAACAGCAAATAAATTGACTATATTATGCTATGATATAGTCGCTGTGTGTAACGATATTCCAGTTTTGTTTTAATAAAAGGTTCGTACTTTTTTAAGATGAATTTGAAATTTCTGCAATTTTTGATTTCAAATATAGTAGAAATAGGATGTCACCGCTGTGTAAAAGATATTTCAAGCCAGCAAGGACATTTCATAATATTTTGCCGTTTGTAGTGTTTACCCCAGCCTTTAACGAAACTAATGCAAATACTTCGCGTATTTATTGGACCTAGTTCCGCACCAGGAAATTGTGAAGAACAAATCAGCGATTGAGCCCTGGTAAAAAAGGAAGTATGTAAAATAAAATTATTAAAAGTAATTTCAAATGCCGGTTTTAAGTTGCATATATTTACCTTTTAACATCAAAAGCTTTAAGGCAATCACCTGGTGTCACTTTATAAACGCATGATAAGCTTTCATTCAAAGTTGGCGATAAAATGAAAACTGGTGCCATAGAGCGGTTGTAAAGCCAGATTCCATCTGGCTCTTGACTTAATATAAGACCTATAAAATGTATTAAAACACAATAAACAATAAATAAAAATCGATAATTTTTTTGTTTTCGCTAGATACTCTGAAAGAGAGGTTCTTAGACACCTCTAAGAAAGTCTCTTCAAATATGAGCTCTTAATTTTAACGGGAGGTCCTCCGACTTACGGTTTTCTATTTTATTCTTGACTTGTCTACTTGAAAAAATATCTCGTTTCATAGATTTTATAGGAATCCTATAAAGTAAAATTCCAGTAACTTTCCTACAGAACTACGAGTTTTTCGATTAATAATGCTTTTTTTTTCATTGAGTTATAAATATATTATATTTATATATTTATGAAAAAGTCGTGAGAAACACTTTTGTAGAGCATTCAATTTCCTACAAAATCTATAAAACGAGATATTTTTCAAGAAGTTTGAAGCGTGATTTTTTTTTTCTAATAAATTCTAGAATTTTTCTATCTAATAATAAGAAAAGATTTAAAAATTGTAAGGCGGAGGACCTTCCCGTTACAATTAAGAGCTCATATTTTTAGAGATTTTCTTAGAAGTGTCTAAAAATCCATTTTTCAGAGTAACAAGCGAAAAGAAATAATAATTTTTTTACCCACACTAATACATATACATATTATTTACATGCGCTATCTGTTGAGCATAAATTATCTGGAAATAGATTGTAGTATAGGATCGAACTTTCTACTTACCAAAACCAATTTTTTGACGAGTACATTCAACATCCTCTCGAGATGGTGTAGTCTTATCTGCAGTTAAATCTCTTAAACAAAAATCCTGACTGTTGTTATTATTTCCCCTTCCATCTGCATAAATGTTCACAAATGGTTTATGTACAGAACATCGATTACCAACGCGTTTATTTAACTCCCAGTATGCTACTTGGCACCAAGAGTTTTGATCTGTAATATTAAATTAAATAGCAATCTCAAAAATTAATTGAATTTACTGAATGTAAATAATAAAATAATACAAATATAACAAAGTACAAATAGCATAAAAATATACATAGGAACCTGTTTCCTTAAGCCATCTAATATTAAGGTGACTTTCATTTACGTTGCTTTAACACGTAAACTGCCCCAAATTTAGTCAAACATATGAGCAAGGGATCACGCTCACTCCCCATATAGTGGTTATGTTGAAAACTACTAAAAAGTGCGACAGCTCACTATGTAGATAAATATTAAGTGAAACCCTGTACCACAGGAACTACGGGCCAATTTCAACTTAATTTGATACATTACTGTCTGAAAATGGGCGAAATAGGGTCTCAACCAAGCCTACCTTCCTTATATCAAAATTTAAAATTTTCTGATTTTTTCGCTTCACAGTACATAAATCAAGCACCAATGAAGATATCGGAATAAAACTTTACACAAATTGTGCCATCTTACGACTAAAAGAAGTGGAAGTCATACTTTAACTTTTTAAGCCCATAGATACCGATTATGTGGACCTTAGTGTATATGGCTGACTTTTTACCAGAAATTATCAGTCAATTTGTGAGATGTGCATAGACATAAATTTCGACTCATATAAACAGACAAGTGATTACTATTTATTTATAACACTAAAACTTTATGTTTGAAATCACTTTGTTTAATTTTTTTTATTCAAAAATCCTAATCTACGCCAAGTAGAATGAAAATGTTTTATAAATAATATTTAAAAAATTAAAAATATTTTATAGTGTTTTGATACAACAAAAAATAATTTGATCAAAACTATGCAAATTTACTTTTTGAATCTTCAATAATCGAAAAATATTTAAAAATGTATCAAAAACATACTTAAAGTTATACATTTTTCAACATAGCACGGCTTAGTAATAGAATATTAGTAGGAAATTCGTACTGAATGACTATTTTTTCCGCTTATTTTCTTATTCTATTGCAGTCGCCTGCGTATGTGATCTTGAAAAATTTAAGATTTGTTACTTGCAGGTTTATAAAATCTATGCCAGCCACGACTAACTACTTTCCCAAGGAGTTTCAACACAATTACACATTTTTGTCAAGCACCAACACCAACGCACATTTTTGGGATATTTAATTCATAACTAATTTCGAATTTCCTAAAACTTGCTAACTCATTTCTTAATATTATTGATTGAGTGGGAATGAGAAAACACATCTGTCATTAATGAAAATAAAAAAATCCGAAAAAGGGAAATTAATATACGAGGCAAAAATGTCGAAAAAAAGTCATTTGCGTTTTAAAAGTGCTGAGGTAAGTTAGCAAAATTTTGCGAAATTTTATAAGTTTGGATATATAATGTTTTTATTTTTACTTTTTTCTAACATAACAATCAACATTAGATGTCTGCCAATTACAGCTAGTTTATCTTAGATAGACCAAGTCCGAAGCTCTCAGCAGGAAATCATTCATAGCACGCGCAGTAAATGCATGAAAAGTAAATGTAAAGATGGCGTAAAAAGTTTACCGGGAATATACCGGCTTGTGCTGCCATTATCACTGCTGTCGATTGCAGTTGTGCAGCGACTGCTTGTGCAGTCTCTTTTAGAACATAATTTAAAGGTAATTTGGTTGGGGGTGTTGTAGTGTCTGGCACTAAATGTGATTTTTCTTGCTAAATGCTTTATTTTCATGCCTTCTATGGTGGCCCTTTTAGGTTTTGATCTCCATCCTTTTAGTTTCGCTGATTTGCACAGCGGATTTTTTGTTGGTTTTGAAATATACCATATATAGCGAGTAAAAGTGTTATAATCAGTTTAGGTTACCTTTAGATTTTAAACCTACAGTAAAAGTATGTAAAATAATATTAACTAATAATTTAAAATTTAAAAATTTTGTGGAATGAGAAAGATTTCACGCCACCTATGGCGTGTTCATCAGTTTTGAAAGTTTGAAAACCGAGTGTTTCACTAGTTTTTTAAGGAGTTAGGGTTAGTCAGAGGCACGGAAAAATTAGAGTTTTCCGTAATTTATTTTTGCTATTAAATCATGTTATTTTACAAAAGTATAATATGGCATTATTATACAACGTTTTGAATTGAAGTCACGATTATTAAAAAAAAAATTCTTATTTTCCAAAGTTTTAGCTGTCTGTGTTGACCCAGTTTCAAAAAAAAAAGGTACTTGCGGTGACAATCATAAGTCCTTGGAGATTAATCTAAAATCATTCGGATAAAAAAAATTTGTTTTATAAATAGATAATCCTGGGACTGATCGAAGCTTTTTTTTCAAAAATTAACAAAATGGCGGCCTCAGGAAATTTTTGGAAAAAAATCAACTAACTGTTGGTTATAAAAAATCGAAATTTTTGAAAAAAAAATCCTTCGATCAGGCACGAGTTTATTATGTATTTTAAAAGCTGTATAAATTTCATTAAATTCTGCCGAGCGGTTTTCAAGTTACAGTTGTCACCAGTTCGAAAAACATGGTTTTGAGAAAAATGAATTTAAAGTTTCTTGTAGCTGCCGCTAGCCACCTGCTCCCGAGCGCTTTGAAGTGACCGAGCGCTCTTTGTTCTTTGTCAAATAACTCAAAAAGTGATTAAAGAATCAACTTGAAATTTTCAGAGAATATTTTCAAGATATAACACTTACTTTTTACAAAAAAAAAAAACAAAGTGATTTTTTGAAAATTCTCAGTACCCCTACCCCTTAACCACTTTTGGCTAACAGGGATGCTTAGGATATTAAATCGATTTGTATTTATAAGCACTTGCTTTTTATTTGATGGAGTTTAAGGCGACTGCTATACGTTCAATATACATATATTGGCCGCGATCCAAGTTCGCGATATTTATTGAACATTTAGTATGCAATATTGATGGATCTCGATCCATTTCACAATAAATTTAAATATTTAGAAATCTGGATAGCGGATTGTGGATCACGCGATAAATATTGGACATTTAGTACATTTTATATACAAATTCGGGATTACTTATATATTATACAATATATACGAAAATTTTAGCATTTTCAAAGAGCTGAACTCATCACATTGGTGCCTATCATTTTTTGCTCCAATGTTTAGTCTGAAAAACTAAACAAATAATAAAACAGAACCATTTTTTTTTAATCTTTCTTTAAAAAAAACCGATTTATTTCGAACAAATACTGGAGCTATAAATATTACACGATTTTTATTCACTGGCGATCCATCAATATTTAATATGAAAAACGACCACATATTACAATAAATAGTGAATGTGTGATTGCGTTTTCCATTTTTGGTTGAATAATTTTGCCATTTATGGTTTGGGTATTGGTTGTTTTTTTCGTTCTCTCTTGATCCATTCATTGTACAATGCTTATCAGGTCGAAAATTAGTCAATAATATTTTTCTATATGTATGATTATTGACAAAATGTATTAACTAGACCTTGGTATATACCCGATATCGCTAATAAAATGATTTCCCATTAACTGATTGACATTTTTCTCATATACCCAACATTAAATTTAGTCCCGTTGATTGGGTATATATCACTCATATATCATTTGATTTAGGTTGATTTTAATATAAATAACTCATAACACGACGCAAAATATAGTCAAGAAACTAAATGAGTCTATAACCTAAAATATAAGATAACCAGGTACCTAATATGAGACTAATCCTTTCACGGTTTCGTCGAATAATGAATTTTTAATTAATTTGCGAAAATTTTTAATCTATAGTTTGCCAATCTACAAATATTTCTTCGCTTTTCAGGCTACACCTGAACTTGGTCTTTTTTTACTTGTCATAACTTTTTTGTTATTGTTTATTGTTATTTCTTTGTATCGAAATTTCCAATGAAAGGAGACAAACTACAAGTATTTAGGTTTTTTGACTGATTATGGGATTGACTATTGTGAACTATTATAAAGGAAACTTTTAAAATGATAATAAAATAATAGTTAGATTTTAATAAAGAATATAGTTATGCGCTTAGCTTTGGGAACTTAGTAATTTGTCCTACCTTTAACATCAGTTATTTTGAAATTTTTGGTCGAAGAGTTGGTTAATATTTTGGCGCAGTCTTCTTCTGTAAAAAAAAGATATTCTGTATTTAATTTAATCAGTTCGAATTATACATATATATATATATATATTTAAGTGTATTTAATATATATATATTCCCATAATATTTACTTCCCCAAAATCGAGCCTTTCAAAAAACCAGAAAAAAAGGGAGTATACGAATTCACTTTATTCTTCCATATAATAAAATATTAGTATAAATTAATATATTCCATATAATAAGACATTACTATAAATTAATGCAACAATATTATGATAAGAGTAATTGAAAATAACTTTTTTCTAACTTTACGAAAAAACTATTACTTTTATCTAGGCGATCTATGCTTGTTCGGGTGTTCGGGTATAAAATATAAAAAAATATTGTGTAGCAAATTCACATAGTCCCCTCACCGATGGGAAGACTGAGTTATGGATAAATAAAATTACCTTCGAATTTCGATTTCTCCATTTCCTGGTAAGGCGGAGGAGCAATATCTGTAAGAATAATAGTTTATATAATATACTCAAAATTAACATATTCGATAAACTAGTATTCATATAATTAATAGATTTTCGTTTTATCTAATGCTAAATGCTGGTGATTATTTATTGGGGGATATCTGACCGCTGGTAATGAACGTATGATTTTACCAAAAGTTGGCTTGCAGCGGAACTGTATCTTTAAAATTGTCCAACGTTTTCAGCCGAAATTTCACAATATCCATCCTTATGCACATGTTGATCTAGTATAGTAAAAAGGTTATCACTTCATCAGTTATAAAAACTATGTCAGCTCCATCAGCTTAGTTAGCATAAGTAATCAGATAGTTCAGGCTGTTATAAAAATTAAACTATATACTAGATCCAATGCTCTTCAACGAAGAGAGTACTATTGCTTAATTGATTTACCACGTCTTCTTAAACATCCTATTAGTACACTTTTAAATTCTTATTCACAGAAGTGAAGAGGTAAGTTTTTACAGTAGACTTCCCACCAAACCATTACAGCAGCTGGATGGGGACCACGTTGAACTTATAAAATAACATTTTCAGGGTATTTGAAAGTTTTTGCGTAGATTTTGTCGTTTTGCTTATTAAAAACTTCAACAGTGAAATGTTTTTCATCTATTAAATGCATACTTTCATGGCCACGCAAGAACGACCACGTCTCTATCTGTCATCGGCTGTAGACGTTTGGGAAAAACGATCAATAGTGCAGTAAACAGACTTTCTCGAATATTATATTTTTTGAGAAGCTCATAAATTCACTTGCGCTTTTAAGCCATTAATTAGCAAAAGCAGAAATTAAATTCCCAAAAATTATTATTTTCTCCGATCTGGCTACAATGGAAAATGTTATAAAAAACGTTAATTTTGAGGCGCTCTCACACTGGAAAGAGTTGGGCATCCCATTATCCCTGAGCAAAAGCAAACACTATACTGAATATTATATAGTATGAGTAGACACTGCATAAAAATTATGATAAAAAAATAACGGTACTTTTTTCTGCGTATTTTTGGCATTATAAACTTTTTAGCAGAATTTATGGCAAATCTAAGTATATACATACATACTTGTATGTATATGGTAAATGTGTGATTTAATTTTGAGTATTTGATATTTAAAATTAAGCAAAAAATTACATGCATAGAGGATCTAGGTATTTAGGTATCTCATAATTTATTAGAACTTTCACAGTCTAACTTCATGCAAATACTGTAAATTAGAGCTATCATACGAGTAAAAATGGGTAAACTCGGATAATAACAACCAAATAACTATCTCAAGAAAGAAGGCGATCCTTCATACAAATTAGCTTTAATATTAGCCTCTAGGCGTGACAACATCAATATTTTACTGCACAATAATTCGAGTATCAACTAGGATATCGAAACAAAACATATCCCAGAAAGTGCCCAAAATCTTTGACAACTGTCATCTAAATATTGTCGAAATGATCTATAACTTGTGTATCATATTCTATACAGTATGTATATTGGGCAATACTTCCAGAATCTAATTAAATTTAAAAAAAAAACAGGTTTTAATCAATACATATTATTGTTAAATGGTAAACATAAATAAAAACGATTATCACCCCTGACCCAATCTACATATGTAAATATACTACCATAATGTGTATAAGCTCGGCTGTATCGATTTTTTTAAAATTTTTGTTTAAGTACTCTATGTTAAGTAGGATTCACATATACCATATCATATCTGTCGAATATACCGTATACATATGTAAGTATGTATCTACCTTTGTTAAAATTGTTCATAATGCAGACAAGATGAATATTTGACATCAAGAAAAAAAAAGACTATGGTCAGACTAAAAGCCGTTATATTCAAGTTGATTAACATATACAAAAAAAAAAATAGAAAATATGTTTTTATACTGATTTATTCGGAGAAAGCTAATTTCACCAAAACATCCAAAAGACATCAAACATTTTTGGGCTTTATAAAACAATAATCTCGAAACTTCTTAAGATCATTCATTTGTTTAGGTCTTAGAGATATTTTTTTTAATTAAATGATATTTAAAAAAAACAAAGGACTTGGCGGTTTCGATTGAAACGATTTTTCTAATGGTATTAAAATATTATTCTTATAAGGGGGTGTGTTATTGTTACTTAATCATTTACCTGTTTCGAGGACCCGACACCAATGCAAAGGATTGCAGCAAATATAAATAGAATGTCGGTCGGTTGTGCAGATTGGCAAACGTTTCAGCTCTGTTGCATCTCTCAAATTTGGCCAGAGGAATAACCGGCAGCAAATCACATGTGGCTCTTCTTTGTAAATTAAGGATCGTTTTAATAAAATACATTGGGAATCGTGTGGAGCAGACATTTCTTTGCGACATCTGACTGAATCCAGTAATTCCCCTTGTTGTTGCCGATTCAGCATTTTCATAAGCTTTCGAAAGATCTGTTGGGACTTTTGTAATTGTTTTCCATCTACTGCTTGTTGGCCTACATCTGATTTTTCGTTTTGATGGGAAACCGTTGAAATCGAATTGATTGAGGGATATTCTGTTAACAGACCGCTGACGCCACAACAATTTCGCAACATATTTACTGTCGCCGCAAATGTTCCCGTTGTATTTGAAGCAGCCGTTGTTACATTTGTTATCGATATAGTAGGGTTCTTCAGGTTCGATTGAAGGGAACATTGAGGCAATCTCGGTAAGTAATGCAATGAGCGCTTGAGGTGTTTCTGATTTTGAGCTTGTCCCTCTTTGTTTGTCACGACGGTGAAAGCGGCGCAATCGCTTCCACAAGTACACCCACTTTCGGAATCGTTCGGTTTCTGTTCGTAGCTTACTTCCGTAAACGAACCAAAAAATTCGAGATTGGATGTTAGCGTATTTGATGTAATCATAGTATGACAGAATGAATTCTGGCATTGCTGCGAGTTCTGGTATTGAACACCCTCTTGAAGGGGGTGTTGATGTTGATGGGGAGGCGGCTGTTGTTGCTGATTGCTCATCCCATCGAAATCTCTTGACAGGTTTTTTGACGCATAACGCCATAGTTCCTTGTCCTTTCGAAATAGCATGGAGGGACATAAAATGTTTTCGGAACATTTATTGTATTTATTGTAAAAGCATTATTTAATTTGATTGTTATGTTGTTCTGACTGTTTTCACAGTCATACGATATCACTCAAAACTTTCGCTCAGAAAACAGAAAAATAAATTGAATGTAACGGACTGCAAACTAAGATGAGTCCTTTGATAGCATTTGCTTGTCACTTTAGCCTACGTCATTTAAAATTTGTATGCCTGGACTGAATAAGTAAAACCACAAGCAGTGGAAAGCTATATCTCTTAGTCATAAAGCAAATGCTTTGTATTCAATTCATTGTTCGGTTTAACATAAAGTGAAGGCGAAGACAAATAATAATTTTGTATTTTATTTTATATCGTAACGATTTTTTTAAACATTTTTTTATTTATCACCTCGATTTCGGTTTTGATATGTTTGTAGTTTTCTATTTGAATGTAGAATATCCTTTGTAATTTAATGAATTCTGAAAAAAAAAAAAATAACATAAAAAAGGTTTTGTAAGCAATTTCAAATATAAAATAAAAGCAAGATTCTTACATACTAGTATATAATATGCAGTCAGGCATTTCAAAAAATATACAGTGCCACATGTGTGACAAAAGTACCTAATTTCAAGTTAAAAAAAAATTATATATACGTTGTAAGGCCAATCGGAAGTTAAAAAATGTATTATTAGGCACAATATTTTATATGACACAATTTTATCTATTTTTGGCATTACTACATATTATTAACATAAAGAAATGCCCTCTGAGTTCAATTAACGTACCTCACGTACCGTCAGCAATATATAAGAAGTAAAGTCAACCGTTTTTTTTGAAAATCCTGATATTAGTTATATGGGGGCTAGTGCAAGTTTTCACCGATTTTATCCATTTTAGGAACAGAGATGCAACAGAGAAAAAGACGCTCACTAAATTGAATTAAGATAACTTACAAATTGGCCGATAGAAAATCAGCTATAGGCTCTGGGGTCCACATTTCTGGTATCTGGAGCTTGAATAGTTAGTTCGATTTTGACAATTTTAAACCTGAGATGGCATACCTTAAAGGCAATATTTTTATCCTGATATATTAATTGGTGCTTGATTTGTATACTGGAAAGCGAAAATATCAGATGGAATTTAAAGGTGTGCTATATATAGGCGCAGTTACAGGCCGATTTCGCCCATTTAACATGTAATATGGGAATGCCAAAATAATATAATGTACCAAATTTAGTTGAATTTGGTGAAGTAAGTCCGGAGATATGTGATTTCACCTTAATAAGGGCGGTGCCACGACCATCATCCAATTTTGACACCTGCTCCTATAAAGCACTCTTGTAAATTTATTACATGTTGTCCAACGGGATATCACCCGAACATAAGTGCGCTACTTCGTGGTGAAAACCTTTTGGTACTAGGCCACTTTAACGCGCACTTCGATCCTTGGCTTTCCTTCCTGTTAAATGATCGTAAGGAGATGGAGCAGCCGGAATTTATAGACGATTCGACTTTCTGCACAATGAATGACGAAGCCCCCACCAGAATACTGGGCACTTGTAATAGCTCGTTAGTGCTAGTCTGATAAATAGCATAACCTGGTGACCTATGCTATCCCTCGCATTAGACCATCAGCCAATAATTGTCTCGACCCCTCTGATCCCCGAATAAGGGATTTCAGCTTAGAAATTCGGCAAATGGTAAATCAACATAAGCGGACTAAATGGGTAGAGCTAAAAAAGTGAAAACACTTGATGGCTTGCTATTCCCGACATTCACTCACCGCAGCACTTAGCGTCATAAGCGCACAAATAGTTCATGACCTAAATTAAACGCCACCCTGTGAGAGGATAATCCTCGTAGCGTTGGACTTGTAAAACCTTTCGACACAGTCACACACACAACGCTACTTGAGGATATCCACGCTCTCTCCAGAGCTGAAGAGGTGGGACATGAACTACCTCAGCGGTCGGCAATCATCCGTACTGTTTCGAGGTCAAAACTCCAAATAAAGAATAATTAAAAAGAGGGTTACGCAGGGTGGTGTCCTCTTCCCGGTACTGTTTAATTTCTACATTACCAAACTTCGTCAACCACCAGAGGGAATTTGCATCACCTCGTACGCTGATGATTGCACGGTATTGAAGTCGGACAATGGAACCATGGCATATGTTCGAAAATAAACGGCTGTCCCTCCGACCTTTCTCGTTTCTTTTCTGCAAGAGCTTGACACTAAGTTCACATCGACCATATTCACGAACTGGACGAAGGAGTGCAGACTGGATCTTAAAATTGCAGTCGATGACATTAAAATTCCGACTACCAATAACCCTAAGATCTTAGGTGGTACATTCAACAACCTGTACTCCTTCACTCTTCATACTACTACGACACCCATCAAGTACAGAGCCGAAACAAAATACTCAAGTCGCTAGCCGGAAACATCAAGAGGTCTTTCCTTAATTACGTCGACGACATCGAACAGTACGCCGACCAGACTTCGGACGCAACTAAGTTCAGACACGCACTTATCCCCATTCACAGTCGAGCCATTAATACCTTCACTGACTCCCTCTCAGTGAATGTTGTACATGGCTCGACTGTGAATGGGGATAAGTGCGTGTCTGAACTTAGTTGCGTCCGACTCCCTCTCAGTGAATGTTGTACATGGAGTCCAACCACCACCCATTGCAGACGTAGAGCTCGAGTTGCCACGAGAATCTAGAGTGACCCTTGTGCAACTTCGTTCAGAATACTGTAGCAGGTTAAACTCCTACTTACCCAGAATCGACTCTGACATACCATACTATATCCAGCGTGCAATGAGGCACCGTATGACGAACCCCCACTTTGCATGCCCAGCAAACCCCATTCAAAACCCTTCTCCCTATGGTCCAACCCCATCGAGACAGCACGTTTCCTTGGCCTACCGTTACATGACCTCGATAACAACCAACCCGAGGGTTTAGATAACCACTACGACAACTGATTATTATATGCGATATTTTTATGTACATAAGTATATTAAATGAGTAGACACTGTAAACATAGAATAAAAATACGAAAAAAAACGTTAACTTCGGTTGCACCGAAGCTATAATACCCTTCACAGATACAAAGGTTCCTTACAATAACTTGATTCCGATCTAATTTCGTGAAGATGCCTCGTCAATTAAAAAAGTTTTCCATGCAGGCACTTTACTCCGATCGTTCAGTTAATATGGCAGCTATATGTTATAGTCATCAGATCTGTAGTACAATTTCTTCGGAGATTGCACTATTGCCTTAAATAATAATCCATACCAAATTTTATAAAGATACCTCGTCAACTGAAAGAGTTTTCCATACAAGCACTTTATTCCGATCGTTCAGTTTGTATGGCAGCTATAAACTATAGTGATCCGATCTAAACAATTTCTAAGGAAATTACATTTCAGATCGATAGCTTTAAAACTGAGGGACTAGTTTGCATATAAGTATACAGACGGACAGATGGACGGACGGACGCACAGACAGACGGACATGGCTCAATCAACTCAGCTCATCATGCTGATGATTTATGTACATATACATACATATATTTTAGGGTCTCCGACGTTTCCTTCTTGATGTTACAAACTTCGTGGCAAATTTAAAATACCATGTTCAGGGTATAATAACGGTACTTTTTTCTGCGAATTTGTTTACGCTGTATGCATTGTAAACTTTGTAACAAAATTTATGGCAAGACTAAGTAGATATAATATTGTATACATACATATGTTTGTATATACATATGCTAACAAGTATGCAATTTATGCAACAAACTGTAAAAACATAGAACACTGCTACATGTTGTCGCTCCAAATTTTTCGTAGAATTAAAACAGAGCTGCCAAACCACCAAAATGGCGGTTCATTGTCAACAATGGTTGTCAGCAATGTGTGTGTTTACATTGGGACTCTTTTGACCCTCATTATCGACAAATTCTCTTTTGGTGTCGCTCTGTGCATTCACACCAGCAACTCGAATAGAGTTTTCTGTCATTCCTTTTCACACTTAGAGTGTGTTGCATGTTTCATTTGTACAATATATTGGGATGGTGGTCCCACATTTTGCTTGCAAGGAATTACCTTGAATATGTTAGAACAATATGCATTATATACGCTTAATAGTTTCAAAGAAATACTTAAGACGGGAATTCCCTAATTCCTCAGAATGTATTGAATACCCGCTATTAATATTTTCAAGGCCAAAAGTATGACTGGAATTTCCTTATCTATCGGGAATTATTAAAAACACTTAATATTTTTACTCCAAATTAATTTTAAATAAAATATAAAATGATATTCGAACTAAATAATTTGCGGTTAAAAGAAATAAATATGGAAGCATCTTAATATTTTATGTAAATATAAAAAAGTAAAAGGTAGCTCCATTTTCATTTAAATTCATTTATATATGTGCATATAAATATATTATTACATTTAATACTGTTGTTATAATATTTTTGGATATCTTAATTTTATCCTTATTCACAATTTTTCAAAATATTTCTATTTTTCTATACATATTTGTATATTACATACAAAAAATAGATAACGAAATTAAAATTTCCGAACATAATGTAAATATTAATTTCAAACCAACCCTATCGCAACCATGAAAGTATTTCATAATGAAAAAGAATGATAAATTTCGTAGCAGCGGTTTGAGCAATAGAAGAGCCCGTGTGTGAACTGGCACTTTCAAGTTGCAATACACTCACACTTCTGTACTACTACACTCTAACTTTTCGAACTTGAACGCCATCTTGATATCAATTGTTCCATTAAAGTCGTGGGACAAGTTGACAATCAAGTTAAGACAGCTGATCACATAGTTTTGCAAACAAATAGCATGCAATTGTCGGGAATATAAATATTTCGTTATATTCATGGATTGGTATCAAAATATAAGTATATCAATAAATTTTTGAAGAAATTAAAATGTCGGTGTCTCTCGAATAGCTATAGTGCAGAACAAGTAAAGTGGAAAAAGGCAAAAATCTGGATTTTGAATTTAGCCTATAGTTGTTTTTATAGAGATTGTCTTTCTTAACTCACCTTTTCTTTCCATTATATTCAGGGGTGTAGAATTTGATAGTTGTCGGAATCAGAATTTAAACCGATAAAAAAAATGTAGTAGGTGTCATGAATTCAGATATTATTGGTTTGACGTTCGAAACAGAAATTATATCGGTTTTGGGTGTCACGGAAACCAATTTTATCGGTTTTGTTATCAGAAACAAAGCAAGAGGATTTTTGCTGACAGATTTGAAATGTAAGTGAAGAAAATAATTTATATTATTGTTACGATTTAATTTATCGTTATTTCTATAGGGAAAACATAAGTATAAAACAAAAAATGTCATAATTATTGAGTTTATGGAAAAATCAAGATATTTTAATAGAATTTACAAAACGTAACAAACGTAATTTAACACCCAAATGCGTCTTTA